AAATCTCATGTAGATACCTCCTGTCCTTATGAAGCTATGAGTGTTCAAACATGATAGAAACAAATAAACGGCACCAAATACTGTGAAGGTAAAATTTTGCATTTTGCTTCTGATTCCAAGGGGGCCGGGTAGCACTCACTGATTTTTCATGATAGTACTGTGTTAATGCCCCAAAGCCTGCAGTATTTTATGTCTTAATGCTTACTTTTTTAATCTCTGAATCTTAGGTCAATCACTTAATGATTTTCTCCCTTTTCCCTGTTAAACTGCAAAAATACTGCAGTAGTACACATGTAAGGCCCAACAAGCTTCATATTTTACAGTGAATCAAACATCCTGTACAGCAACAGTGGGGAAATTTGGGCCTAAAAATAACATTTTCTACACAAGTAAACCTCCATAAACTGTCTTAGCCCACAGATTGAGTTCTGAGCATTAATTTGACAAAAACAACCCCCACCCACTCCAAAACAGAAGACGTGAAGAACCAATCAGCTGGTCCAGATGCACAAAGAAATTATTCCAAGCAAAGATGGGTATTAACATTCACAGGAAGTCAGAGCAAACAAAACAAAAGACTTCAGCTGAGATCAAACAAGCGTCTAATCCTCTGACTGTGCGAGTTTGTCTTTTTCCACCCGCTACAAACACAAACTGTTTCATCTATCACATTAATTTAAGTCATGACCTTAAACACTGTCCTCAGTGACATTAAAAAGGAATGGAAAGGTCTTGATGCAAATTAAATAAAATCCTCTGGAAATCGCTGCAGATGGCGCCGAGACAGAAAATATCATCAACCTGCCGCCATTTAGAACAGCAAGGGCTCGTTTTCATTCCTTCCTCACTTCTCGTGTCGTTCTCATCTCTTCTCTTTTTACTTATTTTTAAACACGTTTTAAAATTGCTGGTATTTCTTAACATACTTTTAAATTTCTGTCTGAAAACGTTAAGAAAGTGCTATTCATAAAATTTTCAGATTCTTTTATTATTTCGAAACGAGGAGCAATCTGACATTTTGTTCTGTCAGAAAAGAGTCAAAAGCCAAAAGATAAACAGGAGCAAAAGGTTCAACTCTGAATTTTTCACATTTTTTTCTTGAAAAATGACCACAAACAATTACTAACCTGGTGATGGGGTAATTCGTGCCCAGGGTCTAAAACCCCAAAAGAGATTATTTGCAGTGAAAAGCAGCCCTTTAGAGAAGCTAGAACTGGAACATTTTTACATGTAAATGGCCTTAACAGTAGATGAACATGAGTAACCAGAAGACAACAATACCGCAGCCTTCTGGGTGAATGCAGGCCATCTGTACTGACACTCAATATTAAAACGCCTTCATAAATTCATTTTTTACCATCTCCCAAATCCTGTCCACTTAAAAATCTACCTATAAGCAGCTCACTGCCCTACATTTTTCATAAGCAGGCTACAAACAAAGGATTTCAGGATGACTTTTACCAGCCGAGAGGGCGCAGTCTTGTGATTGTGAGTAAGCAGATAATGGGCACAGCGAGAGGACCCGTCTTAGCTGCTCTAAGCTGCTGTTGTGGCGTACAGAGAGAGGCCTCTGTCTGCTGCAGATCTGCTGAAGACAAACAGCTAATGAGCTTAACTGAGAGAGCGAGCAGCCAGAAGCTGCCACACCAACAGGTCTCTCATAAGGAGCTGTCGAATGAGCTTAAACAAAGCAGCTGAAGTACACATTCCTTAAAACAACTCTCTCTGGAACACATCTGGATGAAGATGAATAAAAGCGACCATGGACGTGACTCAGTGCTAACAGTCTCCCAAATCAATCTCAAGCCACCACAAGTTCAACTACATCAACCTGATTACGTTTAAACCATCTGCTGCACCACTGGCAGCAAAGCTAAAGATCTCATTTATTAAAGATATTTTTAACGTGCATGCATATAATTTTTATGATAACCAGTAAGATTTCTAAAAATAATGAACATTTAAGAGGCAATTTTAGAGGTTTTATGAGTTTTATAAATGATTCAGACTCATTAGAGACTGTAAAACGTTCAATATAATATATAATCACAATATAATCACATTTTGATTGCTTGCTTTACGAAAAATGTGTCAAATGTGCCCAAAATTACAGACCCAACTGTAAATAACTTCATTATTACAGAAGTTGAGTATTAGGGAAAGTTTAATTAGGATGTCGCTTCAGCTGTATTAAAATAAAGAAGGACGAACAGACTGAACAGGACAGCACCTACATTTTCAAACTGACCACACAGCTCCAATTGCATCAGACCTACGGCCACTCTCCTTCATCCACGGTTCAGCCTTCTCCACCTCTTACCTCCTCCGGCCTGAAATCTCCCCCTGACTGAATATTTAACCGATCCAACATTTATTTATATCTGACATCAATCTGATCCCAGCTCAAAAGAATCGACTGAGCATCACGACAACAGACCAGTCGATTCAAATCAATTCTATGTTGTTGTTATTTTTGTACTTTTTTATTATCTAATTATTTGGGGGAGGGATTTGTGACAGCAATGATAAAAAAGTGATATTTGTGAGGTAAATGTTTCTGCATTAATGTCCTTCAGAAATCAAAATGTGGGTGGTAACATAAAGAAATAGCGATGCTTGGACTGTGGTCTTTGCTTGGCATTATCCAAAAGACAAACACACACAAACACGCTTTTCAGTATTAGATGCTGAATGTGCTCATGTACTTTGACCTGGAGTTGTGTTCTACATCTATATTTCCACATGTTCATGTAGCTTTTCCATTTTTTCAGGCTGGTACTTTTCCAGCACGACTATAAAAATGTGCTCATGCACTGATCGATGCATGAGGATACAAGGAAAGGAAACAAGGACAGTGAGAGGCTCTCACACTGAGCTGAAAAGAGACCTGAGAGCTGTGCTATTTACCATTCTACTAATAAAAATAAATGTGTATTCTCAGATGCTTCATTTTTTACAGTGGTGTACACAGTCAGGCTCCATGCAGAGGAACAAATATCTTTGTGAAGGCAAAGCTCTGGATTTACTGATTATCTTCCTACTCTTTACAGCCACGAGCTGTGGGTAAAGACTAAAAGGATGAGACAGAGGACACAAGCAGCTGAAATGAGTTTCCTCTGAAGGGTGTCTGGTACTCAGTATGACAAGGTAGACAAAGGCAAGATATCCATATTTTTAACTGGACTTGAAAAGAATGTATTGGTAGATCTCCAGTTAAGTTAATTTCATAGGTGAATAGGTTCGCAAATTAGGGCCTCGTGCTTTCCATCTGCAGCATGTCCACTGTAATGAATAGTTCTTATGCCCCTTTTGTAAAATGCTTTAAATTATGTACAATCAGAGCCAACAACTGCCTGGAAAGTGAAAATGTATTATAAAGTTAAAAGCTCATTACTTTTTTTCTGCATATTGTTTTATAAAGGCATACAGCTTCCTGAGAATGAAAGAGGGATTTATTTGCAGGACATAAACAGCTGTGGTAAGATGCCCACATTTTCTCAAAGACCAAAGATGAGGAGATTTATTATTTATCCTAATTTTACTAAAACTATCATCCTACCGTCTATCCATAATGTCAATGTGTTGCTCTGATTAGACATCAATGCAGCTAGTCAAACCAGGTACCTTCCCTGTTTAACCAGGCTAGTCATTAAAGTCATCAGATGTACATAATTCCAGCCACTGTGATAATCTAAAAGAAAACCTTTCTTACAGAGTTTTATTAACCGTTTTGTTATCTTCATATTGATACACATATATAAAAATACATATACTTTTATTTCTATTAGAACTAAAGATAACATCACAATTTAATATCTCACTGTACTGTAAAGCATTTTTGGGTTCCTTTTCAGCAGAAGCTTCCTCTGCTACTGCAAGAGTACGAAGGTTAGATTTAAATGACTTTTACTGTAAAAAAAAAAAAACAACAACAAAAAAACAAAAAACGTTTATTCTTAGATTGGTGCACATCTAAGAACATCCCAACATAAAACGCTGCCTCTTGTGGTCAAAGCTGAAATCACATTTCCAGGGGGTAATTACAAAAGGTACCTTTAACAGCGCCAAATCAACACTCACAACCCCCAAAACCACAGAGAATAACGGGGCTGCACAGAGAGGCCACCAACAGCCTTCCCCAGGGGGGAAACCATCAGACAAAATAAGTCCTAACACTTCAGTCTGTCTCACATCAATCTTTAACACATAACAACCGCACACTAGGTGGACAACACCCCTATCAATGACCACCGGGGTCTGAAATTAAAAGTCAAAAAGCTTAAAATCACCCAGCAGCAGGTTTGGTAACGTTATCTGGGTTAGCATCTCGCCAAGGCTACCAGAGCTAGCGACAACTGCTGCCGAACAGTTAACAGCTTTAATGTAAAGTCACTCGGTTTAAAAAGTTACTCGGTTACCCGTCTGTCCACGCCAGAGTGCCGCTGGGTTTCAGCGGACTGTTATACCAGCAAAGGAGCATTTTTCTTTGATAATTTGACATTTAACCGCTAGCTAATCCTAAACATACGTGGTGTTTTAACTACTCCGTAGAGCACCAACAATCCACCAGTTTTAGCCCAATATTAAATCCCTATAGGTACTCTGATCCAAGTTTATAGTTAATCTGAGTCGGTAATATATTCAGATAAATTCGGCCTGTTAATAGTCCAACTTTTATTTAAATGGTAACCAGTTTCTTTTTTTCTTATCCACGTCTCACTTTTCCAATTTGAAGCATTCAGTTGAGACACAGTTCCTTGCATTCCTGGCACTGTAGCACGCCGAATTGAAAACTAAACTTCAACGACTATGAAAATGTTTGGAGTCCTCTCATGCACTGGGTGTTACATTAAAAATGATACAAAAAATCATAAATTGCTGTAATTTTGCCTGGCGTTTGGCGTGACGTTGTCTGGTTGCTAGCAGCTAGCTTTAGCTCGTTCTGCAGGCACACCCTGCCTCTTTCTCCGGGATTAAAGCTACCATTCCCGCGAATATACCTCTTTCCTGTCCTGGAGACACTCCAACACCGCCAGGTTATTGTTCCAGGAGTGTTTGGGGCAAAGCCGGGTCAGGTCGTCTCTGCACACCGCCTCCTCAGCCAACTTCCAGCCGGTAGAGCGCCTCCGAGACAGCGAGGCCCCAGCGCCTTGGTTCCTCTCATCGACTCCAGGGTTCGCCGCCGCGGGCCCCGGACCTCCAACTGGGTTCTGCATTTTATCGACACCGGCAATAAGTTTGGCAATAGCTTTGTTTTGAGCTTGAATCGGATGTACAAACAAAAAGATGCACATCAAGAGCAGGAGCAGAGGAACACGTATGCAGTCCGCCATCTTCACAGAGCCAGTCAGCCTGCTGCTGCTTTCAGGAGCTGTCGGAAATATGGGCACTGAGGATAAAGTTCCAGACAGATTGTTTTCTTCTAGTGAATAGTTCATAAATATTTAATAAGTCCTCGTGTGTTCATGCTGTGAGTCATCCAGCCATGGAAATGTCTCTTCCTGGCATTCTTTATGATATTAGTTTAGTGTAAAGTTTAATCTTTTATAAAGTTAATTAGTTAAATTAAAACCTGTGAACACTGCGTGTAAACTTGATGTCTAAACATCATACAGTGTGGTTCAGAGCAGTTCAGTTACTACTGTTCCAGTTTAATTGGTGAGATCTGTTTACACCTCCCAGTCCGGATTAAAGCTGCACATTTGGTCATGTTTCCTCTGCCTGGAAGTATGTTATGATTAAAGACATTTCAGTCACAAGACTGCTGCATTTGTTAAGCTCACAATAACTTATTTGATTTCAAATTCATATCAGCCTGAGAACGGAGATGGAGCCAGGCTGTTTTCAGGGGATGCTTTTTATTTCAGGAAAGAACACAGCACGACGTTCTCAGTCACTCTGATGTGTGAACGTGAAACACACATGTAATGGTAAGTTTGGAGCACTTTCAACTGATTCATGTCTTAAAATGAAAGTGTTATATTGGATGTTATGGAAATAAATAATTGTAATTGGTATTTTCATGCAGACTTTTCGAAGTGTGCATTGAAACGGAAACAAAACCTCAGTGTTTCTCAAATATCATTAAATATCATCAGCTGGGCATTTTCAGCCCTCAGGAGTGGTATGGTGGATCTCTTTATTAACAGAACTCTTCTTTTGGCTGCTCCGTTTAAGGGTCACCATATACGATCATCTGCCTCCATTTTACCCTATCCCTGTGCTAAGGATAGCGCGACACAGCGACTCTGCGGTTTCCTTTAAGGTAAACACATAAAAACATTAACTAATTAGAAATGATAACCTTAAGCCAGTAATTCAAAAATAATTAAAGAATAATTAAATAATTAGAGTAGGAATTTCAACTAAAATGCTAGTGGCAGAGGTTGTTTTCTTATTACATGCACCTTTAAGAACAGATGAAAACATGTAAAAATTATAAGCTGTGTCCAAAGCTGTGGTACTGCACACAAGAAACCACTTAAACTTAAGTGATGTGGCACCCAGGATCAATCAAGCTCTGAGTTCAGACTGGATATTTTTTAATAAGAAAGTTAAGATTTTAGGAATAACACAAGGACAAACAGTAGTCAAACGTGCATTGAAATGATGTTGCATGCATGCCGTTCTTACTGTCTGTGCAATATAAATCAATAAGTCACAGATAAATGAGCGTGGGTTTAGGATGACTGAAAGCAGAATGATGTGGTCTCGTCTTGTGGTTGATAAATGTCTGAAGCAGAATGTAGGTGTAGTTCAGTGTACTTTCTTCAAAACAAAGGAACTGTTATATGCAGTGTTGGGTAAGTTACTTTAAATTAGTAACTTAGTTACATTACTAGTTACTTCTATCAAAAGTAACTCAGTTACTTTCAAGTTACTTGTTACTTTCAAAGTAACTAGTTACTAGGGAAAGTAACTTTGGTTTTACTCAGAATTCTCTTGTTAATGTGTTGCTTCCATAACTTTGCCAGTCTTCTAGCTTGCTTACTTGCCACAGTGCACTGTGCCACCTACCAATAGAAAAAAAAAATAATGTGCATATTTCCACGAGAGAAACCCCACGCCTGGACCACTGTTGACCTCCGCCATGATTCTAGCCTACGTCACAGAGTCATGTGCGCCTTTTACATCCAACACAAAAAATGCAGTCGTGGTGCTTTCGATTGTACTCAGAACTCGGAAATTCTGCCTTCTGAATAGGAAGATGTAGGTAACACCAGACTGCAGATGAGCTGCATACAGGGCTGGACTGGGACAGAAAATCAGCTCCGGCGTTTTGACTACAGACCGGCCGCCATTATAGTAAAAATCATAAAGCCTTTGAATGAAAACAAACACTGTTGTGACAGTGATGTTCACTGTTCTGATGGTATATATGCATCAATCTATCAATCGTTTGTTGTAAGATTCAGATAATTATTTGTTAAAAGCGAAACATTTTAAATGAGAATAAGAAAGAAAAGTATTTCTTTGTGCCCCCCTCTCCCTGTTAATGCCCTACCTGCCCCCCTGGCAACACTTTGCTAGATCCGCCCCTGCACAGTTACCAGCTGTCAGCTACCTAAAAAAGGATCCTGGTGTTATTTGTCTCTCAGAAACAGTTCATAACTTCCCTTCAACTCATTCATGTCACCTAAAAGGTAAACCTGTTTCTCCATCACCTGTTCAGCTCTGATGATCCAGTAAGGACATCTCCTGGTTTCATCTTCATGTTTCCCTCTCACCACATATCCAAACCATATCATGACCAGCAGGTTTACAGCTGTGGCTCCAGCAAACATCAGCTGATACTAGAAATTAATATTAAATAAATTCTAACAACAGCTGATCAAGCTTAAACATGCTGCTGTTGTTTAGCGCGACATCCGCTGGTTTCTTCTTTCTGGGGCAAAGTGGGCGATAAACAAACAGGAGAGCCGATCAGCTGATCATTGATCAGTTTCATGATTGAAGTAGAAACAGGAGAGGGAGGGGGAGAATGAGAGAAGAAGAGGCAGCTGTGCAGCAAAGACACAGAATAACTCCAGCTTTGTGTCTTTTTCATTGTAGCTGAATTACGGGACAAACTGTTCCTTTTCACCTCAATAAGAAAAACAGACGGGACGGTTGGCAACTCTAATAACTTATGAACAAAATAAAGTTCAACATCAGTAACATCATAGCACCACCCAGCTGTATAGAAACTCCGTCATGCTAGCTAGCACGCAGTACGGAAAAAGTCAGCATAATGAAAGTAAACTCCACCTAAACTTGGTTCATATCTGACCCAGAGAGACTGCAGCTCAGAACTTCTTACCTGAAGTTCAGTTCACACTTGGACCGGCGACTCTCCTCTTGCCTCCCCTTTCCCTCCTCCACCACTTGCTAATCTGTGGAAGCTCCACGATAGTCGTGTGGTGACTATCGCGGTAATCCCAGTAACAACTAACGCGTTCCTAATTTTGGCATAATAACTAGTTACCGTGCTCGTTACCACAATAATAACGTAGTTACTGTAACACATTACTTAATAATGGTTAGTCCCAACACTGGTTATATGTAGTCAGTTTTTTACAGTTTGCAAGACTTTTGGTTCAAAACTGACAAATTATGTATATTGTCACAGTTTTGAAGTGGCCAATTTTTTTTTAAACAATAAAAAAACAGAAAGAAAAATCCCTTAAAAGAGGAGCGTTTGTCAGTTTTTTTTTTTTTAATTTCCAACAAAAAGCTTTTAAGAAGTTAAGATGTACGAGCAGTCCATGAAGGCAGCATCTAGCTGATTTGCTCAGCTGGCAGAAAAACTGAAAGTTTCTAGACTGAACCATCCCACAGTGACAGGCCACAGAGTTCTAGTCAGCACATTAATCTCATGTAGGAGGCTCTAACAACTGATCTGGTGGTCAGTCTCCATCGTAAGCGCCATAGTCACGCTGAGAGACCAAATGTCAAAGAGCAGGGAAACAGTAGAAACTACCAACATCTATTCACAGGGTTGTTCCCGGTCAATTTTACAGTCTCACAATCTGAAACTAAATCTAGTTTCTGTTCAGCATCCATCTTTGATCCTCAGCATAAATCAGTCTAGATCATAATTTTAGCTGATCTGTTCTCTGATAATCCAATGGAGAAGAAATTTTTCCTACAGTTGATAATCCCTTGAGATTATTTGGGGGAAAAAAATAAAAATACTACATATGAACACACGTTAAAAAATATAAATAATTACACAGCAGTTTAAATCCAACATTTTGACTTCATTTAAAAATAACACATTTTTATTATTAACTTTTGAAGGCGTACACAAACAACTGGTGGCAAATATACATATATACAACTTCCTTTAAAAAGACAAAGAAAGTAAACTTTTAAACGACAGCAGATTACTTTGGCACTTTGTGATCCGTGTCAGAGGGCTAAATAAAATCTGACTCCGATAACGAGCCACAGAGATGGACAGAGTTTGACAGAAATGAAAACCTGAAATTTTTAAAAGGCGGACAAAAAAAGAAAAGAAAAGGGGGGCTTATGTTGAATTTTTGGGGAAACTCTGAAAATCTGATAAATTTAGCATCAGGTGTTGGAAAGTCCTGCTTGAACTAACCGAACTCACTTTCATGACAAAGATAGACGAGTTTGGGCTACATTCATGTTTTCTTTCACACACAGACATTATTAATCTGATCTTTGGCTCCTGAAATCACACTCATACGGTGAGCAGAAATGATCTGCCTGCGTAATTTGAATCACTCCAAAAAGAAGAAGCGATGAGTGTGAAACGCTTCCTCAGTCCGATCACTCGCGGTAACCTGTTCAGCGGTGTAAACGCACAGGTAAAAGTTTAGCAGCATTACATTTCCCACAGTTCCTCACAGATGGCGTCCTTTCCTCGTGGGACTGAGGTTTGTCTCTTGGTTTTCTGCTCTTGTCGCGTTCACCCACTCCTCCCACTTCACTCCCACTTGTAGAGCTTCAGCATTTTCTCCGTAAGCGATGCCAAAAAGTGCTCGCCGTTCACAGAAAACGGGCTGATGTCCAGCACTGGGAGGTCGGCCGGAAGCTTCTGGCGCAGACCGCCGCTGCTGGCGTCCCACACCTGAGGAGGAAAGGGAGAACGAGATGACAAATCAGACAGAAGGAAACATTTAAGCTTCAAGCTTAATATTCAAGAAAAAAAATAAGAATATTAATACAATTTTAAAATCTAAAGACAACATCAGAACACCTTTGGCAAAGTCAAAACTGGAAACTGACTCATCAGAAATGATCATATACAAGTTTAAAAAGAAACATTCAAGAAAAAAAATTATCTAAACTATCAAATAAGCAAGTCTCAGTAAGTGTGACTGAGTCATTAAGTAAATAATTAATTGTGTAAGTAGGTCAGTAACTAAATATGCAAGCACATAAGTAAGGTGTTAAGTGAGTGATTAGCTAAGGCCTCAGTGTCAGTCAGAGACGCTGTGGCAACCTCCAGCCTGTGGAGGTGAAATGGGATCTAAAGAAGGCGTTGCACCAAAAACCTCCTTTGTGATTTCTTTAGTTCTTAGCAGGTTGTTGTGAACACCCACAGTTTGCACACCTTTACCAAGCAATTAAAATAACTGTGCTCAAAATACGAGCACAATTAAAAAGAATTTGGGGTAATATTTCATAAAATTAAATTTAAAAATTATTCAATCAAAAAAAATCTGGGTTAAAAGAGAATCACTGATTTTCCTTAATTTTTAAGGAATATTTAACCCTTTAAGACCTACCATAGAACCAAGTCCGCCCGAGCTTATATTATATTTTTACATGCTGTGGAGCCATTTTTGGGAGCATTTCAAGTTGCTATACATCAATACAACCATTATAGCCCAGATTTTAATAATATGTATGCATTAAGTGTATTACATAAATTGCAATAAACTACAAAAAATTGAAAATCGTTTTTGTTTTTTTAACATATATTTCTAGTTAGAGAAATTTAAGAGGCTTAACCCTCAAAACTGTAAATACAAAAAAGTTGCACAAAATAGTTTCCCACCACAGGAAATTTATTTTAAGTGTCTTCATAGTTTTATTTTTGAAATACCAGTTTCAGGCAGGTCATGGTGGACATGCAATAGTTCACGCTGACGTCTATTCCAACGTAGGAATACGTTCTTATTAACAGCTGATCCGATCAGCAAAGCATCTGGAATATTATGTTTTTGTTGCTGCAAGTGCTTTTTATGGAGTTTTTGCAAAGCTTTATGTGGAAGGAAACCGTGACCTAGGACAAGCTGATGGCATAAGATGTAAGTACAACTCCTCCGGTTTCATATGCAAAAAAAAATTATTGCGCTAGCTTACGTGGTTGCAGTGCTACCGGGATTTAAAAATAGTTACGCAAAACGGAGCGTGCCCGCTCCGACCGGCTTTAAAGGGTTAAAGAACATAAACTCTCGGACACTTGATGTTACTAAATATTACAAAATGTAATTGGGAATTGAATAATTATTACATTAAATAAATAAAATCATTTAATATATTTCTTTAATTTAATACATTTAATTAATACATTTAATTAATACATTTATTTATTTTGATACATGTAATTATTAAATTATTAAATTTTATTTAAAATAATTGAAATTACACAAAAAAAACCAACAAAAATGATATGGTATTTAGATTTATACATTTCAATTAATTTAGAATGCAAAAATAATTTAACGAAGCAAACCACAAATATTTTATATAAAACAAATATGAATAAAAAAAATACTAAATTCATTAAAATAAAAGCTGATCATTTATCAAAATATAAAATAATAATTTGCTCTTTCAAATAACAGACAAATGTAAAAGGACTGACCATAGTGGAGTTGGAGGCCTCGTCCCCGGCGCAGACCAGCGTCCCGCCTCCGTCCGGACTCCTGAAGACGGCGTTCTTGGTGAGCAGTTTGCAGGACGAGCCGGCATTGAACGTCTGCACCGGCTCGCAGGAACAGCTGGGCAGCTCACTCGACTCCTGCTGAGGGGTTCGAGTCAGCGCCATGAGGACACAGCGCAGAGACGGATTGGAGCGTCCTGCAGGACAGACGATGGTTACTCAAAAGGTGCCATGAGAGGGTGAAAAGTTTAGATCACGTAACACCGCCTCCATCTTTTACCTACATACGTGGTGTTCTATCAGGAACTGAGGGGTCAGGGTCTTACCGGGCCTATAAGTGACGAGACAGTGTCGACTGTCCGTCTCCACCTGGATGTCGGTGCAGCCAGAGGTCTCCAGGGGCAGGACGTGGGGCCTGTAGGTGGCCTCGTTCACCTGCTCCCAGAAACACCCGCCCTCTAGAGAGCCAGCAAGGAGCCCCCCACATGGGAACGAGCTGGACGCTGCCCTCGGGACGTAACACAGAGATGCCACCGGACATCTGGAAACATCACACACCCACAATTCAAAGTTTTTAAGTTGAGTGAATTTGTGAAACTGTGGTTTAATAAAAACTTTTGGTCTTACTCGCTCTGCCTTCGTATGTTTTTTGCGTACCTGGAGCGCAGCGGCACGAGCTCCTGCACGTGCGTGCTGGTGTCTCTCGTGTCGTAGATGAGCACAGAGCCGTTGCTCAGGCCGGCGTAAATGTAGTTACTGTTGTCCAAACACCAGCAGCAGCTCCACACTGGTTTACCCGCATTATAGGTCTGAACCACTGTGTTGGTCAGCAGGCTGGAACAAAACAACAACACATTAACTCACAGGCGCGCACGACTCAACCCTCTGTGAGGCTGGAGATGCTGACGTGCTCGTACCTGGTCAGTTTGATAGTGTTGTCCAATGCAGCAGACAGCAGCAGGCTGTCATTCTGCCTGTTGAAGGACAGACCTCGGATCTGTTTGCTGTGGATGGGAACGTACTGACTCGCCCTCATGTTCACCACACTGACCTTCTTTACCCCGCACCCTGAATGGAGGAAAAGAGGAAAAAGGGGAAGTTGAGTGATTCAAAACACACACACACACACACACACTCTCTAACTCGGGTGATCTATTAGTGAAACTTCTCTCATTATGTGTGCATGTCTAACGCGACTACATTTACACAACTAATGCAGGGTGAAACTGTTCTTCGTGTCTGGTGTGAGCGATGAAGAATCACACTTGTCAAGTGGAAAGAAGGATGTCTCACCGGGCACCAGCGTGGTGTGAGGCGACGGCTGAGAGGCCAGCAGGCAGCTCAAAGGTTCACAGTACGATAAAACCCTGCAGCCTCCGGCCTGAGACACCAGCACCGCTTTGGAGAAGCTGTACTGAGCTGACCTGGAGCCGTCCGCCCTCTGAGACAGGCTCAGGACATGGGAGGAGGACGAGGACGTGGAAGAAAAGAGGTTCCTGCTCGTCTCGGTTATGAGGGCTCTCAGCTCCTGTACGAGGGAGAGAAGGCAGATTATTAGCATCACATTCTTTACTAAACTAAAGCAGAGGGAGACTTACGCACTTTGATTGTGTTTAAACAAAAACACATGAAATACCTGCAGCTCCTGCTGTGCTTGTCCGTATTTGTTGGTGACGACCTGCAGTTTGATTTTGTACTGAGCCGACTCCAGTTCAGCCTTCCTCCTCAGCGACTGCTCCTGCTCCAGAGACCTACAAACACGTTGTTGGGAATCAGTCATGGGACTAACAACCCACAGACTAAATCCACCTAACATGTCACTATATTGTTACTGATCCTGATCTACTGAAATCTAACAAGAACAGCACAAACAAGGACAGCTGAAGCTGGCTTTAGACAATAATTCATAATTTTTGCCATTTTGACAGCAGGCCTGTGAATGCAGACTGGGAAAAAGTGTGCAAGAAAAAACTGAAAGATTCATTCTTTTGCTTTGTCATCGTGACCTAAGTTTCATTTTCAGGCTTGTCAAACAGGCAACTGTGAGCTGGCTGCAGGTTCTGTGATCCGTCACTGTAATTAGATTTTTTTTAACATGATGGCAAAGCAACTTTTCTGCTGATGCCATTAAGAATCCAGTACACCCTCTGCACTGTTCGCTTTGCATGCCACCGCAACATCATCTTACAGTCGCTTGTTTATGCTAGCTGCTAACCTGCAGGTAGGCACTGCAGTGTTCTCCTGAACAACAGGTGTGGCCACTACAGCGCTGATACAGGAAGAGAAGAAGTCAAAATCCGAGTGTTTTCCACAAATTCTCATGTTTTTCAAACTGTTGCAACATCTCTCAATGAACAATCTGTGACTTAATCGAGAGGTGGTCTTACAGCCGAAGTGAAACCATAACAGTGACAGACGTGACATTGTGTTCAGCATCCCAGTTTTGTGGGGGTCGGGTGGAGGAATGACCCAATAAGATAATAATAATAATAGTGTATACTTTATTGATCCCGTGGGGAAATTACTTTCTCTGCATTTGACCCAGTCACTCAGTGAAGCAGTGGGCAGCCACTAAGCAGGCGCCCGGGGAGCAGTGTGTAGGGACGGTACCGTGCTCAGGGGTACCTCAGAGTAGCTCAGTGGATTTGAACCCCCGACCTTCCGATCATGGGGCGACCACTCTACCTAGAGATCTTTTAGAGTCCCTGTTTGCAGATTACAGATTCTTTCATTTGATCTATCAGTGTCCAATGTAAGACATTATCCTTTTAAATATTAATACATATAGAATTTACTTGCACCTGCAGGTATGGAGTGAGACAGCTGTTGTCAATTTCAAGTGATGATTCTTTAATGGTTTATCTTTCATTTCTTAAGCAAATATTTAACAGTTTATAAACAGAGTTCACTCAGGATTCGTCCCGCTGGAGGAGAGCAGCGTTCCTCGTTAGCACAGCTAAACGGATATGGTGCAGAGAGCAGAGAAGGCGATCACTCACTTCTTTAAGCTCTCTTGCTCCGTGTTGTCAAGCGCTCTCAGTTTTGGAGCATACAGGAGCACGATGTCGGAACGCTTTGCTTTCTTGTTGCACTAAAAATCACAAAAAAACCCCCAAAAAAACCATCAAATATATTTTAACCTTCAATCTTCCACCGGTGGTCGATGGGATTTCTCTTCCTTCTCACCTGCGGACATTTAGCAGAAGGGCTCTGAGCTTTCAGCCAGCGCTGGATACAGGTGTAACCGAAGAGGTGACCACACCGCAGAGCGGCGAGTCTGTGCTCGCCGGCCGTCGTCCACGCTTCGAAGCAGATGGTGCAGGTGTCACCTTCATTCTCATCACTGGGAGACAGAACTGCTGAGGACACCTGGAAGCAGGGAGGATCAACAGTTAATGATCGTTTTTGTAAATATCCTAAAAAAAAAACAAAAAACAAACAAACAAACTGGGGACAGCGTTTTATCAGTGAATGCGAGTTCTTTTTAGCCTGTCGATGCGTTTCAAAGGCTCAAAGTAAGGTTACACTGACTTGTTGCACCACCTTGTTGTGGAAAGTGGCATTACAGAAACGCATCAGCACCCACGTGAGGCTTGAGTTGATATATTTTCCACATAATGCATAAATAGTTTTGACATAAATTCTTGACATTATGTCTTCCTTTAATTAATTAATTATTAATATTTAAGCAGAAGTTGGATTTGTAAGACTTTACTGTTGTGGAATGAAATTTAACACCAACTGCACACTTATCAAAGAACGCATCAGTGACTTGGTGTTGTACGGAGCTGGTCTTCTCCAAGGACAATTTCCAGTCCAGGAATACTGTACAAGACTACACTTGTTACAAAATGATGATGGTAAACATATTTTTCTTGTTTTGTTTTTGATGCAATAAAGAAACCCTGGTTTTTGTGGGTGCTAGAATGAAGACAGTGAGACCACTTTGGAAAACAGCTAAAAGACACAATTTAGTGTAATCCATCCGTGTCATGGTGGTTATAGGTCACTGCAGATGATAACTACAAGTTCACAGAGCTTGTGAACCCAATTAAGAGAGGATGAAGCGAGGGCTGGTACCCCATGGTCGGTGACCAGGCCCCTCCACCAACTGAGGACCAACTCACTCTGTGTGTGGTAAAGCCAAGCACACTTTAAGAAGACACCAAACATCACAGCAAACATAAGGAAAGCGACTTTTCTTCAGCAGTAACTGCATACTGATGCTGAGATTTTTCTTTTTTACAACCAAAGAATTTTTTAATAAAGTTATCCTAAAAACAATTTTAAAATATATTAAAAAAAATAGTTTTACATGTGTAAAAAGCACAAGAAAGCACAAAAGAAAAATGTCTGAAAGCTACCTGAACACCCTGGACTTGAGCTTCTGCCCTCTCGGCTTCTGCCGTGCCACTGGAGTCTGAACGGAGATAAAAATCATCGTGGACGCTCATTGGTTACCTTCATGTATCATAAGCCCAGCTGCAGCTTTATGATAAAGCTTTAATCAGGGTGATTTCTTGAAATGGATTCAGCTGAGACTCACTGGTCGTAGCGGCTTCCTGTGGTTGAGCAGGTTGGACAGTGGCGCTGAGGTCAGACCCAGCAGGTGGCACAGGGTCGATGGGCTCTGCAGCAGCAGCCGTGCTCTCTTCTTCACCCTCTGCCTCATCCTCAGACTCACTTATCTCAGTGGCGCTGCCCGACTCTGGCTCTGCTGTGCTGGCAGCCGGCGCTCGCAGCAGGAAGTCTGGAAAGCCTCTAGAAGGCGCTGCAGTCTGGCTCGGATAGTGCACCCTGAGGCCCTGCCTGCACCACAAACACAGGTTTATCACCTTGATGAAGCACACAAAGCACATGTGATGTTTCTTCTGTGCTGTCCAGCTTACCTGACTCTCCTTCGTATTGGCGGCGTAGATGTAGCCCCGCCCACCGCCCTCTGACTAAACGCCCAAGTGGCAGGAAGTCTTGGAGGAGTATAAGCTGCCGCCTGTCCCTCGGCGCTGCCATCATCATCATCATCATCATCTACTTCAGTGCTGCTGCCAGAGTCGGACATGACGAGAGCAGCGTTGGCATTCTCAGCATCGCCTGCAGGAGCTGCAACGCCACCCTCTGGCTGCCCAATCCCCTGCAGCTCCACAGGAGAGTCTACCTCCATGGCCTCCATCTGCAGGGTAGCATTATGTGTATCAAAAAGCCAAAAAAACAAGACAGGAAACTACATTATTTTCTGTTCAGCAACTACATGCAGACTAATCGTGGCTGATGTGTAAACTCGTCCAAACGGCTAAGTGTAGGGTAAACGGTATACAGTAGAAACTATATGAATTTGACCAATGGTAGAGATTTTTACTGTATCGCTGTACCGCGATAGCTCATGTTGATGCGCCTGTTTTGGTTGAAAGCATCGCAGTGGCTGCAAGCTATCATGGAGCTTACAGGTGGGGTGGAGGAGGTGGTGCGCATAAAGAAGACCGGTGCAACGTTGGTCACATGGACCTGGTTTGGGTTTAAGCAGTCAGAGGTTGAGCAGAAAAATATCATTTGCAAATTATGCCGGGCGACAGTAATAGCGAAGAAAGGGAATACAAGTAATTTGTTTTATCACCTCCAAACTAAGCACGTTTTGGAATATGAGGAAAGCCAAAAACTACGCCTTCCACAAACTTTCAGTTTTTCGATGTTCATGCCTTTTTAATTTCTCATTTATTAAAATTATAAATATATATTTTAACTCAAAAGTACAGTTTTTAAATTTAATGTTGCTGAAACAACAAAATAATTAAAAATAAATAAATCTGATCGAGATAGATTTATCTCATCTTTGGAAAAGAGAGTTTATTACAGACAAATGGCTCTTTCCAAAATAAAAGCTATACTATCCGCTTCTTCTGGGGTATACTCTCAGCAGCATATTAAACATATCAGGTCCCCATAAGGAGAATCCTGTGCTAACAGCTGTCTAAATGACTCGGGTAAAGTTTGTAGCATGTGTGCTTGTTGTTTTTGTCTGCTTGTCTTTGCACTAGGATGCTGTCGGAGTAAATGTGCAGTCATATTCGTTGTGTTCCACTAGTGCTGTCAACGTTAATCTCGTTAAAATGACATTAACGCCATAACGCCGCAAAACTCCGTTAACGAGTTACCGCAGATCGCCCCGTGCATGGGGCTGGACGGCGTCAACACGTTAACAAGCAAACTGCGCTAATGCACTAGTTCCCACCAATTGAGCATTGCATGGCACATCCGACATACTGTTTTACTTTAGTCCATGACGCGCTTACCTTCAGGGTCATAGTTCCAAAGGCCAGATCTGAATGAGGGTGGGGGAGGTTCAATTTCGGGTAGCGTTGAGGCAGTTGCCATGTTGCAACGAGCTTAGCTTCTGTCTTGCTAGCTTGCGCTGCGCTCAGTGGATCTGCACTCGACAGTGCAGCCTAGGCGGAGTAGTCAAACGCAGATCCACTGAGCTCTCAACAGAGACGGCATCATCACAAGAAAAGTTGATAAAATAAATAAAAACTTTTGTATTGTTCAATACATATGCGTACCGAACCGAAAGCACTGTATCGAACGGTTCAATATCGATACGAGTATCGTTGCACCCCTAATATATATCAGCCCTAGTTTGCGCTGTGTGGCTCATTAAACCCACCGGCTTTAAACAATAATCCTTATTTCCCTTCCGCTATAGAAGTTTCCACTGGGTGATCCCTGCAAACTTTATTCTTTATAAAACCCTAAAAAGCCAAATTCCACAACAAAACCTTTCACATGTTTAATCTGACTCATCCCTGCACACTGGACAGTAAACAAGCAAATCTCTAGTGCCTCTCGTGCACCTGACCAGGTTGTCCATTGGAAACAGATCACAGCTCGGTTCTCCTCACCCTCAGGTACGTCCCGCTAGTCAAGAGGTACGGTGGCCCCTAGAGACAAAGCACGTACAAACTCCAAAACACAACGGAAGTGCTCCAGGACGCTAGGGGCAGTGTTGAGCTTCTCTCTGAGCAAAGCACACTGACTGTTAGCTAACGTCAGATTTGACTCCACCATAAACCAAGTGTTCATAGTAATTAAAAACATATCAAACAAACAACAGTTTGCACATTACCTTTCTTATAAAGCGTGGTTGTTCTATTCTTGCAGGTGTTTTCTGCCGGTATCCAACTCCAAGCGTTTGCAACAAACTTGCACTTTATTTTACAAATCGAGCTCAACACTGTCCCTAGCGTTCTGGAGCACTTCCGTTGTGTTTTGGAGTTTGCACGTGCTTTTTGGAGTTTGTATGTGCTTTGTCTCTGGGGGCCACCTTAAAGAGGCACAAAAAAGGAAGGAAAGAATTAATAAAAAAAACAAACAAACAAAAAACAAAAAACCCACAGAGGCTGCCTGCGATAACTTGGAATGAGGAGATCTCAACTACAGAGACTGTCAAGTTTTATCCAAACAAGGAAGGGGGGGGGGGGGGGGGGGAACAAATGTCCTGCTTAAAACAAAGAATATAGCCTTCAGCAGGGAGAACGTATGAACAAGTCAAAGGGAAGTGAAAACAAATGCATGCCAACGGAAACTACAGAAAGAATATGGAGTGGAAGCAGCACATCATGAGTGAAGTCTGGAGTGGAGAGGCTACCCAGGAGTAGTGGAGTGAGCCGAACCAATTCTGCTCTTTAACAGCTTAAAACCTGTGGCTGCAGCTCCCTCCTTCCCCACAGTGAGCCTTCCTCCCATACACCTTCAACCCTCCCCCATTTTTGCCCCTCCTCACAGGCTCACTGTGTTTTCCGAATTTTACAACTCCTCCCCCCGTCTGTCACCACACTGCTGACCAGATGCAGAGTCAGATGGGGCCAGTAGGCCTCAGAGCTTGCGCTACCCAGTTATGTGGTTCCATTGCATCTTTAGGACAAGCCCGAATATGGAAAAGGTCCCCATGCAGTGGAAGAGGTCACAGAGGTCACATACCTTGTGGCTTTGCCCAAGACAGACCTGTGGCACTATCAGTACAAATCAGCTCAGGTCCATGATCAGCCCGTTTATGACCCCCTTCTGCCAGTCTCTACCTGCTCAACTATCTCTACACCCACCTGGACAAGCTAACAAGCACAGTTCAAAAAAAAAAGTTGTTTTTTTTTTAAATAATATTTTTTTAAACTTCTCCAGTGACTTTAACACCATCTGTCCAACTCTACTAGGCGATAAGCTTAGATGAGGGAGGTGGACACACACAGTGTGTGAGAGACAGTGTGGTCAGCAACCCTGGTCCCTACAGGGACCAGCGCCTCTCCACCACAGACTTCAGCTACTGCACAGAGACCTGCCACCTTCAGAAATTGTCTGATTATTCTGCAGCAGTGGGATGTAACAGAAAGAGTGATGAGGAAGACTACAAGACTGTGGTGGGAAACTTGGGTGACGCAAAAAGATCTATCTGCATCTTAACCTGGCAAAGACTTAAAGTCGGTTGTGGACATGAGGAGGATTGGAACAACGCGTTAGGTCTGATTTTAAAAGCATCACTAAGCTAAAATGTGGATAACCTACAGTTAAAGCAGTCATTATCAACAAACAGCTGAAAAACCATTCCTGAAAAGTCTCTACCATGTCGTTCCAGCGGATACTCTTCGCTGCGCTCCCCGGGAGACGCAGGCGCCTTCTTCGGTTGAGCCCCGAACTAAAGCCCGAGGTCATAGAGGCCTCGGAGCAAGAAAACCGCCAACAGTCACTGCTATTCAAACTCCACTCAGCTTCACCTTGACTGTTACTTATCGGCACAAGAGCAACGTTTTACAATCTGGAGAGAACACCTGTTGTTTTCTGTGATTTCCGTTTTACCTCCAGATAACCACGGAGCTAAAGTTAGCTAGCATTGGAGTGGAGCGATTCAGTAAAAACGCTTTAATGTAAATTTACTCTTATGCTTAGTGCTTAAACATATTGGCGTATTACCAAAGGTAATGGTAACTATTGTACGTACACAAAAAAGAAGAGTATACGTTAGTAGGCTCGTTATTAGCGCTGTTAGCCAGCTTGGCTGTGCTGTGCTCGGGTAGTCGTCGCGGCGCGGTTAGGAGCGAACCCTACCTACCTGTGAGGGTTTAACAGCTGCCGATCCCGGTCTCAACTTCCACAGTAGTTAGCAACATGGCAGAAGCAAGTCGAAGAAGCAAATCTAGAGGGTCCAGCTGCTGTGTTGACGAGTTACTACTTCTTCTCACAGCGGTTAATGCAGTCAGGCAGACCCGCCTTCAGAGCTCGAATCTCCCGGCGCCAGTCCGCTCCGCCCGCTCCAGCCTGCCGCGACGTCACTGCCGAAGATCGTTTGTAAATAAAACGATTATCTTCCGGTCAACAGAGGATCGTCGATGTGTGATTTCAGAGTATCAAATTTTATCCTTCTGACCTGAAATTGTTTTCCAAATTTAAATGAAAATAGAAAATAAAAAAGCAAAAGATAACGAAACGCTGTATTATATTATTATGTGGAAAACTTTTGCATTTAAAAGTAGCAATAGGAAAGTTTCGGCTTCTTCACCTGCACACGTGCGTCAGCGTGTGGAATCAGCGATTCAGTGGTTATACTAATGTAGTAAGAAAAGCAAAATGAAAAAATAAAACGAAGATCGTTTCTAACTTATTTATAAAAAATAATAAAGTATGGATTTGAACATTCCATGTTCAATGTTCAGAATGCTCAAAGTGGATGACTAAAGGCATTTCTCTCAGTCAGTCTCCTGCTGGTGTTCAGGAAAAAAAGCACCTAATACATAGTTTCACCTCTCATCCCAGAAGCTTCTTCAGTTCTAAGGTCAAATGGTGGAGAGAGACATGGACCCCCTGATGGTCTGTTTACCTAATCACATGAGCCAAGGTGTGAAAATGGGTGTAGGTCACAATCAGCCAAGGTTTTGGGGGAAACCTTCTGTGTGACCTAGATCCACCCGATCATGTGATTTCCTGAGGTCAAAAGGCTCAGAATGTGAGTGGCACCTGGGAAGGGATCTCAAAACTGGATTGTAGATGGCAGACAGTTGGTGTGGTAAACCACCATCTCTGTCCAAAGATTGTGTTCACAGTGGACATAGATGGCTTCTTTCACTCCTCTTTCATACCATCTGTCTTCTTTGTCCAAATAGGAGTCCCCAATCCCAGTCTACAAGGGCCGGTGTCCCTGCAGGTTTTAGATGTGTCCCACCACAGCTGATTTAAATGGATAAATTACCTTCTCAACATGTCTTGCAGTTCTCCAGAGGCCTGGTAATGAGCTAATCATGTGATTCAGGTGTATTGACCCAGGGTGAGAGCTAAAACCTGCAGGGACATCGGCCCTCATGGACTGGGATTGGGGACCCCTGCTCTACAACGTGGTCTCTGCAGATAACCACACATCTTAAAATATCTTTATCTTATCTTATGTGTGTAATGAAACTGCATTAAAGGACTCCATTCAAAAGCCCTGCTCATCAAGGTCCTTAGTATTCATTGTTTTTGTCTGTTACATCGGTAAGACAAAGAATGTTTTCAACCCCCGTTATGTGAATCAAGCTGAACCTGTTGTTTACTACAAGCCACACCTCAGTGTGGGGGAAACCCTGGTCCCATTTTTCAGCAAGCAGCCCAGGTCTTTTATAAATATATTTATAAAAACATACTATAACTATAAACTTTAACAATACTCTTGAAAGGGTAGGGCAAAATGCAACTCCATAAAATCAGAACATAATGTCTTTGAAACACAGATGACAATAAGATAAACAATCATCTCGCTGTATTACTACAGTATCGGCAGCAGGGGAGTGTGTGAAGGAATATTTTCAAATATCTCGGTGACTCAAAAGCCCCGGGGCAACACAGGGTTTTAATTCTCATTTGTTTTTACATCAACAAGAAAAAGAATGTGAAGTTTTCACCCCTATTCTGTGAATTAGAGGAACCTCCCTGGATCCTTACAGTTTAAACAGATCGTTCAGGATGTAAGTCATGACTCAGAAGTCAAAAAACAAGGAGTGTGTATTTTTCATGTATCTTCCTTAATTTTCATGGCTTTCCGTAAAGGAAATCATGTCACACACCGACAAACTTTTGGTCTTTGCAAACAATAGCCCATGTTAGAGAGTGTTCAAAGAGCCAGGAAAGTCATTTTTAAGTTGATGGTATGTGAAACAGAGTCACATTGTCAAAAAACAGATTAAAAGCATACCACTACTCAGATTTTGAATAAATCCGTGACTTGTTTTGATTTTGTCTTTTTGGTAGTTATGTTTGGTGCCTGGTACAGCTTTAATAAAAGTATCCATAAAAACATTTTATTCTGCATATGCATACAAATCATTTTTACCAGCCATGAGTAAAATTCATATTTATGTACAATTCAAAGAATCCATTATTAAATGAAACTACATATTCCTCATACACTCAAGTGATATAAAACCTGATGATGACTAGATAGATCTACATTTCTGAAAAGAAAAAAAAACATCAGGTTGAGTGCAAGATTCTCTGGAGGAAAAAAAAAAAGAAGTAATGTCTTCTGTACCAATGTCTGAGAGCCAACGGATCTCGACTGGGTTGCCAAAACTCTGGACAAATAGCACTTAAAAAAGTCTGCGGTCCCTTGAATCTCCAGCCCCAGGAACCAACTTTTCAGCACCACGACGAGACAGACAGCCTGTTGCACACAGCAATTTTGGAGCTTATCAAACTCACCTCCGTTCTAAATGCAATTATCCAATGCACCACCAAGATATTTGCGTAAGGTGTAAAATGAAACATTCATCCCGTTCTCCACTTGAAAAATATTACTTTTTCATAGCTGACAAAAAGACTGGAATGGGTGTTTTTATACCTGCAGCACAGAAGATTCTGCATTTGGAGGGCTTCACCCCAGAGGAGTGGCAGAAGTCTACCTGTTTGAGTTAAAAGACACTGTCAATGTTGAACAAAGTCTTAGAAATTTGCAAGATAGTGTGACCACTGTGAAAGCGCATAAAGTACATAAAGTTGTAGATGACACATACAGACCGTGGTAGGAAAAGTAGAGTTCTCTAATGCAAGTTCATGCACTAACGGGTACGAGAACGCCTGAGGGGTGACTGGGGTGATACGCTTAAGTATCCTTCTTATTTCAAAGATTGAAACTGGTATCGAGCTAAAAATCTAAAAAGATCTTTATTAAATGCAAAACACTCAGGAGTGAACTAAATAAAAGTTTTAAACATGGCTTAAAATATCATTGCTGCTAAATATTTAGAAAGAGTGAGCATTAATAGACATGCTTACTGTTTGAAGGGACTGCAGGTGTCTTGGGTCAGAAAAACACATTACAAATCTTGTGTGCCTGAAGGCCCGGCTTTGACAAACTGCAGGACTGAGCAGCTCTGAGTACATCAACATGACATGAAAAACAAAACAAAACAAAAAACTATTACTTTTTGTCACTAAAAGTAATACTAAAAGTTACTTTTTCTTAGTAATTCGTCTGCGAGTCCCGTTATATAACTTATCAAAGGTCAAAATATTTTCTGTATTTAAAAAGGTTTCATGGAATTTCATGGAAACCCCACATCAGACACATAAAAACCAAAATTTCCAGAAGCCTCGCAGTTTTGAACAAAGTGAAACAATTCCTTGATAAAGATGCACTTCGTACTCTGTACTGTACCCTGGTTCTTCCATATCTTACATATTGTGTGGAAGTGTGGGGAAACACATATAAAAATACAACTAATCCATTAGTCACAGTACAGAAACGTGCACTGCGTATTATTCACAAGGCTGGTTATCTAGATCATACTCACAAATTCTTTCTTCAGGCAAAGTTACTTAAATTCCAGGATCTGGTTAATTACAATACATCCATAATTTTGTATAAAGCTTTTACTAAACTTTTACCGGCAAATTTACAAACTAGATTTGAAATTCGAGAAAAGGTTTATAATGTGAGAGGCTTTGGAGAATTCAAATTACCCAGAACTCGAACAACCCGTAAAGGTTTTTGTGTGTCTGTATGTGGTGTGAAAATCTGGAACAGTCTGAGTTTACAATTGAAACAATGCAAAAATATTCATAGATTTAAATTTCTCTACAAACAGTTGGTCTGGTCACAGTATACTCAATGATGGTTTTAGTGTGCTCTGTAATGTCTGTTCTCTTACCACTGCTGGTATGAATTCCCAAAAAAAAAAAAAAAAGTGTGTGCGGATGTATGTACATATATGTACATGTGTGTGTAGATATATATGTATGTATATGTATGTGTGTTTGTTACTTGTAGTTATTACTGCCTGTTACCTGTGGTAATGCAATTTATAATTTATGAAGGCTCTAATTGTTGTTTGCGAGCTGCCGTTTAGATGCTTGTATGTGCCCGGGGCTGTTGATGGGTCTGTATGCAATGATGGGCGTAGCTGCGGGAAGTTTTTTTTTTTTTGTTGATGAGTGAGTATAGGGGTGGGATTTAATAAGTTTTCTTCGTCCCACTCCTTTTTCAGGCAATTTTTGTTTTTTGTTTTGTGCATTTTATGTTCAATATAGGTATTTGTTGTGCCTGAAAATGAACAAATAAATGAAATGAAATGAAATGAAAGGTGCATTTTTTAAAACTGTCTGTAAATGATGATGAGAACTTTCACCACTAGGTGGGAGCATTTTACCAAAACTTTTAGTGTAGAAGTGCAGCTGAATCAGAAAGGGTTTATTTCCAGATGTTTAACAGACTTACAACATTACGAAATTGCTGCGGTACCTTGTGTGAAACATACTATAAGACAAACACTTAAAAAAAAAAGCTAAGCAGATTGATACGTACATGAATGCAGGTGATGATCAGTGCAAAAATGGAACAGATGCAGAGAACACAGTATAGAGTCATGTGTTTGTGGTAGGAACAGTCTTATGGTTATTGTTCATCAGTCCAACAGCAGAGGGGAAGAAATTGTTCTTATGACGAGAGGTTCTGGTCCGAATGGACCGGAAGCTGCACGCCCCAGTGTCCTAGAGGTATACAGGTCCTGCACAGATGGGAGTCTGGAGCCAATCACCTTCTCAGCAGAGCGCACAACATGCTGCAGTCTCTCCATTGTCGTCTGGGCGTTCAACACCAAGTTGTTGTGGCTGCACCAGGACACCAGACGTTATGTCGAATGATGGCATCTACTGCACTCAGCCCGACTGCCATGGTCCTCAAATCTGGGGATTGGGCGATGCGGTCGAGCAGGCTCACCATCCGCTTCATCTCAGCGTTGTACTCCGAGGTGAAAATGTCTGCGGGGGTCCATGTTCTGGTCGCGATCTTCTGTCAACTGAAGGCTGTGTGCAGGCAGGAGTGGTGGTAAGGAGGACCCAGTGCACAGACACTCAGAGGCAGAAAGTAAACTCAAACTCAGATTTATTGCTAGATGGCAAACAGAGAACTAGCAAAACTGAGAATACAAATACTAAACTGAAAATAACAATAACCTAGTGATGGGTCTAGCAACACTGACACACCGACGCTTGTATCAGGCTCACAGAGCAAACCTGTATCGGTGCGCGCGTCACTTTAAGAAAAAGTCACGTGATCGATACAGCTGCTGTATCGCTCATTGCCAACTTGCCAAAATGTGTTTAAAAGGTACCGCATCTGCATCTGCCAACGGAATGAGTCGCCAACAAAAACCCCCACAAAATTACTCTCGCAAAGGTAAAAAACAACAACAACAACAACAACAACATATCTCTCCATAAAAAAACGGAGCCCGAAAGAAAAAGAAATGTTTCTGCTGTGTGGGATCATTTTGATCTTTTAACTGCAAATAAGGTAACTGTTTGTCTGTCTTTGTTTCAGTGTAATCTATCAGAACAGGAAAAACAGCAATGTGACCTGCAGTGTAAAATATTTATTTCATTTTATGCAGGTTAAATGTCACATCTGTTCTGCCGAGCTTCTTACACAAACAAAAGCACCTCCTCAGTGTTTAGGCATTACAGAGCCAAAGATGAAAATGAGGAGACAAACACACCGAGAATGAACACAGGTAGGCCTATATAGACACTGAGCAGCATTATCATCATATATTTTTTTAAAAATATGTGTTTTATTATTTTGAAATCAAGCATCTAGGAAGACTGTTTTTGACCAGGCAGTCCTGAATTTTATTATAAAGGACAGCCAACCCCTTAGTATTGTGGAGAATGTTGGAGAGGAACATTCCAAGATCAGAGGATCCTTTAACGTACTGGGGGACTAGGAGGACATCTTATCTGAACCTTTTCCACCTGGCTTTACAGTTTTTGTGTACCCCAGCTTTATCTGTGCCCTGTGAGCGTGTTTTTTCCAAAGCTAAGGAGATGGTGTCCAAAAAATGCAATAGATTGAATGCAAAAACATTGGATAAACTTATTTTTCTGAATAGTCAATTTTCTGAAGAGTCAATTACATTTAAATGGGTAACATTACATTCATAATACTTTCGTTTTAATTTTCGCTTAATGTGATTCACAATATATTTAAAGATGTCTACAATATTTGCAATGTAAAAGATATAAAATGATTCCATGGACTGTGTATACAAATATGACTAGGTCATTGAATCAGTGTCTGTTGTGAGTCTCAAGTAAGTTGCCTGCAATGATATTTAAGGTCCAGCAGGTGTCAGTATGGAGCAAAATAGCAACAGTGTGTCGACACAGTATCGATACAGTTTGGGGAATGTGTTGAAACACTTCACAAGGCCTCATCCACCCATCACTACAATAACCTGGGCGGGCGGGCGGGCGGGCAGAACACACAGCATGAAACGAGGGTAGATCGCAACCCGGACAAAGAGAAACACAGGGCTTAAATACACAGAGGGAGCAATCAGGGAATGGGAAACAGGAGGGAAACACAGCTGGGGCAAATCAGACCTAACGAGACAAAGGAAGCAAAACCAGACACATTAACATGAGACACAGACTTTCAAAGTAAAACAGGAAACACAGACTGAACTTACAGACACAGACTCACAAGCAGGCACTGCAACAGAGGGAACAGAGACGTGGGATCAGGGCAGACACAGCCTGACTGGACACAGAATAGAGGGAATAAGGAAGCCAAAACTTGAGAACCACATAAACACACACCAAGAAGAACTGGGGAAAAAATAGAAATGCAAAACAAAAACCAAAATCTTCACAAAAATAAACTAAGATGAGAACACTAATAAAAAGGTACAAAACTGAAATCACTGTGTCAACGACCCAGGTACCCTAAAGGTAGAATATAAATACAATTTAGTGGCCCACAAGTTAAAGTCCAGTTTTATTCAAAGCTGCATTTCCTCCCCTGAGGATAAGCCTGGCCAGCAGAAAGGCAGATGAAGAGTTTCATTGGTCCTCTAACTGTGCCACCACACTGCGCAGTCTATCCACCAGTACTACAGAAGACAAAATATTGTTAGAAATTTAGTGAACTGAACCCCGACAGTCACAGAAAGATAACTGAACATACTGATGGAGTCATTATTATTATTATCACCTCCAGCTGAAGGCCTCTGGAAGCTATCGAAGTCTCGGCACTCGTTTATTAGCTGGCCCAGTTCTGCAGGACAGTCATCGGGAAGCGGCTCTTTGCACTTCTCTTCTAACACCTTCCTATAAATTTCTTCATCTGAAAAACCTGGAAAACATGTACAGACAACTTGGTACGGATGCCTGACTGCACAAGTTCTCAGTGATTCAGGTTCATGGTAGTGTTAGGCACTCAAAATGAAGTCGATGGGATTTCTTTTTGGTTTGCGAAGACATTTCACTTCTGTATGCATGTGAGTCATTAAACTTCACATGAACCAAGGTATGAATCAAGGCCTGGGCCACTGCTGTCACATGTGCCAAGGTGTGACAGCTCTGTGAGACATTACCATGCCGTGCCATTATCTATTCAGTTCGATTCAATTAAATTTTATTTATATAGCTCCAAATTACCACAGCAATCACATTCACCTTGTATATTTTTAAGTAAAGCCCTTACAGTAATACAGAGACATTAAGATAGTAGCTCAATCAGCTTTTAGAGCAGAATAAGCGTCTTGGAATACAGTTCAAATGTCTTCCCAAAAGAAAATGAAGTCCACCTGCCTTATTTGAAGTGTTTAATACCAAGATAATACAAGTTGATTTTCAGCAGATACAAACCTTCAAAGGGTTTCTTACGGGTTGCGACTTCCCACAGGACGATTCCAAAGCTGAAAGACAACAATGAAAATAGGAACGTTTTAGAAGGAACGTTTTCTAAAGCATTTGGGCATGATCAGTTCATGCCCTAAAACTCACCCAGGTTATGCAGCAGGATGATGTTGTGGAAACACACCAGCAGGTCCACCTTGTAAATCAGGGATATTATAGTTTTTCTATTTGGTTTCTATTTAGTTCAGTTTAATTTCATTTAGTTTCCAGAGTGAGTTTGCTTGTTTCAGTTTAGTTTCAAATTTGTATGTTTAGTTTCAGTTTAGTTTCTATCATCCATCCATCCTCTTTCGCTTATCTGAGGCTGGGTTGCAGGGGCAGCAGCCTAAGCAGAGAAGCCCAGATCTCCTCCTCCCCAACCGCTTCCACCAGCTTTTCCAGGGGAACACCAAGGTGTTCCCAGGCCAGCCGAGAGATATAAGCTCTCCAGCTTTTCCTGGGTCTGCCATGGGGCCTCCTCCCCATGAGACATGCCCGGAACACCTCACCGACAAGCAGTGATGGGAATAACGGCGTTACAAGTAACGGCGTTACTAACGGCGTTACTTTTTTCAGTAACGAGTAATCTAACTAATTACTATTCCTATCATTACAACGCCATTACAGTTACTAACAAGAAAATGCGGTCCGTTACTATTTTTCAACAAACAGACGGTTGAAGCTGTGTTCAGCTCACCGCATCTTATATCAGTTGCACGGAAGTAGCTGTAAGTAATCTGGGCGCTACAGCTTTAAGCAGCTGCGCGCGCTCCCGCGGACGGTAATCACGATCACTGTCTAGCACAACAGCTGGAGCTAAGGAGGCAAAACAATCGCATGAGTGCTGCTGTTTGACTGAGGAAGAATAAAGTAGTCGTGGTGAGCCAGTCACATGACCACTTAAAGACAAAGCAACAAGGTGATTTATACCAGTTTATAAACTGTGTTGATCGGCCACGTAAAACCAGAGTCATGATAAACAAGATATACGCGGCGCTTTTTCCTCAATAGTTTCGTCACGTTTACTGTCTAAAGACAGCGCGGCGAGCACTCTCTGCTTATGAGCAAAAATTAAAAAACAAAAAAACGGGAAGTTTTAGGAGTGACAGAGAGAGAGAGAGAGAGAGAGAGAGGCAGCAGAAAAAGAGAGAGAGCGAGTTTTGAGATGTGAGAAATCTGTGACGTTTAGCGTGTTTGGGGTGTGTAGTTAATGTGTTGTCTTGTGTAGTTAGTGTGTAGTGTTGTGGATAGTTTTGTGTTGTGTGTCAGAACAATGAGGCGGCTGCTGTCTCCAGGTAGAAACAGGAGTGATACACCTGCTGATGTCAGACCTGCAGGTATCAGGCTGTGATGTTCTCCTTTATAGTGGACAGAAATTTTTGGAGTGGCACAAATAATTTGTGTGCATCTTATTGAAGAACAGCTGATTGTTCTGTAAATAGTTTGAAATGGTTATTAAAAAAATCAAGGTAAAAGGTAAATGGATGCAAATAACTTTGTTGTTTGCAAAACTTGTGCATAGGATTTTAAAATTGACCATTTATATTTGCATTTAAAGTTGTGAAACACGATTCATTAAACATGTTTGTGGTTGTAACAGTAAAAATATAACTTTTTCTACTCTGATTTTATGTTTTTTGTCTGATTTTAGATCAATTGTGTTAATACAGTTTGTCAAAATGAAAACATAACTGTAAATTCAGACACGTGAGGTTGTGCTGAAAAGGATGATACCAAACAAGGTAAAATGTGGAGGGAAAATCAAAAGTAGTTAAAAATGGCCAATTATACCCTGGGCCCCAGAGGGTTAAACGTTTTTTAAAGTAACGCAATAGTTACTTTTCAAGTAATTAATTACTTTTAGAATATTGTAACTCAGTTACTTTTTTTGAAGAAGTAACACTATAATTAATTACTTTTTATAAGTAACTTGCCCAACACTGCCGACGAGCCACACGGGAGGCATCTGTGTCAGATGCATGAACCACCTCAACTGGCTCTATTTAATGTGGAGGAGCAGCAGCTCCACTCTGAGCCCCTCCCAGATGGCTGAACTTCTCACCCAATCTCTCAGGGAGAGGCCAGACACCCTTCAGAGGAAGCCCATTTCTGCTGCTTGTATCCAGTTACTACAGTTTTTTCGGTCACTACCCACAGCTTGTGACCATAGGTGAGGGAAGGGACGTAGATCAACCGGTAAATTGAGAGCTTCGCTTTTATACTCAGCTCTTTCTTCACCACGACAGACCGGTGCAGCGTCTGCATTACTGCAGCCGTAACACCAAACCGTCTGTCGATCTCCCGCTCCCTTCTTCCGTCATTCGTAACCAAGACCGTGACATACTTAAACACCATTTTGGATTTGCTCAATTTATCTTTGTCTTATATAAAATTTTAAACATGCCATTGTGACAAATATTCAAAAAATAATAAATCAGTAAGTGTGCTAAAACTTTTTCACATCATTTCAGCTGAACAAAAACTCATTTAATGCTGGTGTGAGTGGAAGTATATCCCAGGCTGGTGCTCACCTGTACATCTCACACTCTTTGCTGTAAGGATGGTTGATGTTGTTGAGCCTCTCGGGAGAGTAGTAGCACAGGGACCTGATTGCGTCGTCATTGGTAGATTTCTTCACCTTTTTCAGAGACGTTTCTGTTTTTGCCAGCTCAAAACCTCCGAGCTAAAAAGAACAACAACATCATCAGTGATGCTGTTCAATTTGGACTGCAAGGAATCCCAGCATGCACTGCCCTCAGTACCTTGACGGTGTAGCCTTCAGCCACCAAGAACTTGCTGCTGTTGATGCACCCGTGCACCTTAGATTTTTCTTCTGTATTGTGTAGTCTAAAATATGACAGTTAAAAACATTAGTGCATAAACTACACATTCTCATCTCAGGCTCAGCGACTCACCTGCTGTTTGGTTTGGACTTTTTTAAATGTGCTTTCTAAGATTTAAAAAAAAAGCAATTATAATAATTATTTATAATATAATAATTTGCCAATAAAGCAGAAACACTGACCGATAGAGTCCTTGTGCTGCATCGAAACACATACGAGCTTTCCTGATCCAGGACAGCCTGCAGTCAGAGTCCAGAACCTGACGAAGACTTCCTTTCTCGCAGTACTCCATGATGATGAAGAACTGAGGGTTGGGTCCTACAGGTAGTCACAAGAACAAGTTATTACAAGTTCATAGCAAACTTTTCCCCATCTTTTGTTGTAATCTCTAATTTTCACTTCCTTCATAATTTTGAAAAATTGCTTCATTTTGCTTCCTGTTTTACTTCCTGTTTTATTTTTACAGAAAGTCTTTATAGGACTGCACAGAGTTCTGTGAAAACTTGTTTTTTAAGGGGACTGTAGCTTCTCATGTGACTTTCTTTGTTTTTACTTCTCTTTTTTGTTCTCCCCCAAAAGGGAGGGGGTATGCAATCAGTCCCATTTGCTTATTTCCTTATTTGTTTGCCTGTCTGTCTATTTGTTTAGATGAAAATCGGGTCAAGGCCGCACCAAATGCAAAAATCAGTAAAAACTTTACCTTACCCAGATATCACAACACTATACGGGGACATGAAAACTGACATCAGCATGCTATAATAAAAACATTATAACATAAGATAACTTTAGTATAGCCACTGACCGTCCAATGTCTTAACATGTTACAAGGAACTGTGGCATGTTAGGAAATTGGACTGTCCAATTGTTCCTTGTCTCTTGTTGTTGTTTTTTTAAACAGATACAGGACCACAAGAACGATTCAGTCTTTATCATATGCTCTGTCAAACAAGCACAATGTCTTGATTGAGTTTACGAATGCCTTATTATCCCTGTTCCTGTATATAGTCTGCGTCTTCTCCCTGAGTCCTTGTCAGATAGTTGTCTCTTCACCTCAGGTTCCTGCAAACAGTGACCGACTGTGTAAATAAAGTTAATGCTAAAAAGCACGCAAACATCATCGGGTCTGCTGTGGTTTTGTTACAAAGTGCTTGTGCAAGCTCCATGGCACTGTTCCCTGCAGGAGACTCATCAGCTCTGACAGATAGCAATGACATGGGTACCTACTGGCACCAAATGACCTAGAGGATGCCACCAGAATCCTTCAATAAGAACATTTGTATGAGACCATATATTCCCAAAGCTGGGACAAAGTAAAGACTTAGACTCTAAGTTTTACCACCTCTGTCTGTCTGCAACGTTACTGACAGGCTACATTCAACTCACCATTCTCACCCAGGATACTGATACCAAACATTCGCAGGATGTTGGGCGACTCAAATCTCTTCATGGTGTCGACTTCTTTGTTGAAAATGGACTGCACCTTTCTGCAAATGGTAAAAAAAAAAAACCTTTATGGTGACAATGAATACATACCGATGTAAATACACGTAAACAGTATTCTAATGTTTGAGCTCAAATTTAAGTTTAGTTTAAACTCCTTCATATCAAATTATTCTTTAATCCTTGTTTCTAGGAGACAGATTTCTCTTCTAGCCAATGTTTTAATGTATTTCTGAATAAACAAAGTCTGCAAATGAATTTAAGTTCATTGGTGGCTTCTGACTATATAGAACTGCTTATTTTATGTAAAAAAAACAAAACATTTTTTTTCTCAGTATGCAGCTGAACTGTGGCACAGACCCTAGGTTGGTGTTCACAGGGTCGATATATCTCTTGATGGCAACTGTGAATCCACGATATTCTCCTTTGTAGACCTCTGAGGTTGCTGTTTCCATGAAGGGCTTTTTGGGATGTTTGTACTTTAGCTCCTGTGGTTTAATCATTCGGATGTCCACACTAGTGATGCTGGGCTTATTCACTGTAAAAAGAAGAAAAAAAACTTGTCAGTAAATTATATAAATAATACATTTTTTTTATTTATGTAGCACCTTTCTAGACAGATTCACAAAGTGCTACACATAACAAATAATAAAAAGGTAAAACAGACAAAAAAACCAAAACATAAACCATTCACAGTTCAGCAGTTTGTTTATTTTGTTTGTTTTGTTTGCCCAAATTCATGGTGGTATGAGCCTTTTGGGAGTTTCCTCCAGTGATTAAAAATCCAGATTCCCAGTCGTTGTTTTTGTTTCTCTGCATCACAGACATTAAACTGCTGCAGTTTAGTCAGACACTGATAGAGCCCAATGGCCAAAGTTAGTTATGGAAAAATTGTCCTGAATACAGGACAAGTTGTTAATTTGTGACATGGATGTGAAGTTTTTAATCACTCTTTTTAAAAGAGCTTAAATGGCTTTTTCATCTGAATATTTAATTTACTTATGAAGTAAATTAAATACTTCATAATAGGGCTGGGCGATATATCGAGTTTTTTTAAAAAAATATCGATATATTTTCATACGAGATATAAGATGTGACAATATCGTTTATATCGATATAGTCTATGTTACGTTATAATTATACTTGTGGAGCCGCAGGTTTGCCTCTCTTTCGTCCACTTTTGTCTCTACGCAACGTTACTCGGCCTCGCCTCTCCTTCACTGAACACAACTCCCCCTCCCCCATAGCTTCACCTGCAGGCAATGACAAGATGAAAGCGGAAAATCTCCGTTAGCGAGTTACCGTGCGTGGGGCTGGACGGAGTCAACATGTTAGCGAGCTAACCGCGCTAGCGAGCTAACCGCGCTAACGACATGCAGCCCGGAGGGGCTGCACGGCCTAAAATCCTTTCACTTTCTCAAAAATCGACAGTGCGCCTTATGTATGAATTCTAGTTGTGCTTACTGACCGCGAACCGATTTTATGTGGTACACAGCGCTCAGCAATCTGTCAAAAAATGTTTTAATATGACTTTGCTAAGCTACGGAGCTGCACCGCTTGATGGATTGTCGGAGGATTACGGCTACCGAGGAGGAGCCTCGCGGAGTGATACGTACTGTGCTTCAACGTAATATTACCGTACTGTGTGTGTATAAGGACCACAAATGGCACCTGTTCAGAGACGTGGTGCAGCTGTGAAATCTGTGTTTTTGTTATTATGCTCAGCGTCTATTAGTTTACATTTTGACTGCACAATTGTGAGCTTTTTGTTATGCACAAAAACAACATTGTTTTCTTTTATTTATGGACCATGATTATTTAATAAATGCTGATAATTTATTTTTGAGTAATTTCTTCATGTACATCTACGCTGTATGTAAATAAAAGTGCCCGTGTGACATCTGGGACACAGTGTGACTAGGAACTCTCTTTTTGTTCTTAACTTATGACTTAAAAAAAAAAAATCGAGATATATATCTTATATCGCCATCCAGCTAAAAAATATCGAGATATGAATTTTGGGTCATATCGCCCAGCCCTACTTCATAAGTATTCGTATTACTAGGAGTAAGGTGAACGGCAACTGCAAGATATTATATCGCAGATCTACATTCGGTCAGTCAGCTTTTTCTATAAAGGCTCGCCATCTGTGGAGCACACTTCCAACCGATATCAAATTGATTACAGACATTAGATCTTTTACATTGAAGGTTAACGTGTGGTTAAAGGGAAATCAAAGATGTAGTCATTTTAACTAATGATTTTAATTTCATTTAAAATTATTGTCGAGTAGCTGTAATTGTATTTATGATGTAATTTGGTTTTATGAAAATGTATGTTTTATTGTAAAATGTATCTATTTAGATTGTAAGCCCAACAAGGGACAATTGTTGAAAATTAGCAGTAGCTATAAACCTGTGCGGCACATCAGTTTCATGGCTTGCACTTGAACTATGTTAAACTGCGCTGTCCCTTTTAAATAAATAAATTCACGTTACCCTATGAGGCTGACCCATCCCTATATACTCTAAGGGTCTGTAGATGTGAAATTCATCTGATTTTGACGGGGTCAGGTGGGCCTTTGTTTTTTCAGATTTAGTTGTTTCTATCCGTAATGAAACTCTATATGTGCTGCACTCACACATCTCCACGACTTTTTCCACGTTGACTTTAAGATGCTCAAACTGTTTCAGCATGGTGTTGGTTTTCTCTTGCTGATCCTTCATGTACTCCAGGAGCACTGAAGAGCAAACAGAGAAAGCCATAGGATCTAATTTGACAACATTACTGATATCGTTACTCCTGCTTTACCTCAAATATTGTGAAAATGTTTTTTCTTGAAAGAAAAAAACAACTTCCTGTTCTCAACATTTTATCTGTGTCTTTGTTGAAAAATGTCTTTCAGGCTAGTGGTCCCTGAGTGCTCACTATAATCAGCACCTCACTGCTCTCTGGCCAAATCCCTCCTTATTTTATGAATGCTGTCATCCACAGATAAAAACCCCCCAAAACAAACAAGCTTGGTCCTTCACTTCTTGGCAGATAAAGACCAATCTCAAAATTACAGTTTATTGCTAAGATTTTATAAAAAGGCTGTAGCTAAGCAGCTTACAGCCGTTTTGGACAAATGCAGTATACCTGACACATGCCAATTTGAATTATAACCATCTAAAAGGCTCAACTTTGTTCATATAAGTTCTTCTTCACACACTAAGGTTAATTATAGATGACCTCTAATTTGTTGCCTCTGATTTCAGATAAAACTGAGGTTATTTTACTCGGCCCAGAAAGTCTTAGAAATATGGTATCTAAGCAGATTCTTACTCTGGATGGCATTAGCTTGGCCTCCAGTAACACTGTGAGGAACCTTGGAGTCACTTTTTACCAGGACGTGTCCTTCAACACACATATTAAACAAATATGTAAGACTGCTTTCTTCCATTTGCGCAACATCTCTAAAATGAGAAATATCCTGTCTCACAGTGACGCTGAAAAAGTAGTTCATGCATTTATTACTTCCAGGCTGGACTTTTAGTCCTGACAGGGACTAGAAAGAGAGAGCAGATTTCTCCTGTTTTGGCTTCCTGTTAAATCCAGAATTCAAAATCCTGCTCCTCACATACAAGGTCTTAAATAATCAGGCCCCATCTTATCTTAATGACCTTGTAGTACCATATCACCCTATTAGAGCACTTCGCTCTCGCTCTGCAGGCCTACTTGTTGTTCCTAGAGTATTTAAAAGTAGAATGGGAGGGAGAGCCTTCAGTTTTCAGGCCCCTCTTCTGTGGAACCAGCTTCCAGTTTGGATTCAGGAGACAGACACTATCTCTACTTTCAAGATTAGGCTTCAAACTTTCCTTTTTGCTAAAGCATATAGTTAGGGCTGGACCAGGTGACCCTGAATCCTCAGTTATTCTGCAATAGGTGTAGACTGCTGGGAGATTCCCATGATGCATTGAGTTTTTCTTCTTCAGTCACTTTTTTTCACTCACTAAATGTTTATACACCTCTCTGCATTTAATTATTAGTAATTATAAATCCCCGGCTCTCTTTATAAATCTTTGGTTCACTCTTGTTTATATCACGTAAGAAATATTGCAATGTTAAGTCCCATTATATCACTCTAGAATGGGGAAATGTTAGTAATGCACTTATTTCATCACGTTTGGATTATTGCAATTCACTGTTTACTTGTCTAAGCAAAAGCTCCCTGGATTGTCTGCAGGTTGTTCAGATCTCTGCTGAAAGGCTTCTGACCAAATCTGTTGCTGCTCCAGCTGCACTGGCTCCCAATTCACTCAAAACTCATTTTAAGATTGTGGGTCTGACTTTCAGCCCTCTTCATAGACACACACTTGTTAGCTGTAAACAAAATTAGGAAACTTTCTGGTAAAGATCCTGCTCTCTTGGTCCACTCATCCCTGCATAACAATGGACAAGTATCACATTTGAGACCAAGTAGTTAATTGTTTCTGCTCAAATCTCTCTACAAAAGCAAATCCATAATCAGTTTCCCCTCACATGTCTTCAGTTCTGCGTCGTCCTCCCTCCCATCCAACTGATCTTCTTTCTCTCTGGTCGTCTGTTTAAATACCTCATACAGCATGTTCCCCTGCTCCACCTGCAAAGCTCCAGACAGCACCTGGAAGGCATCGTTGAGCCGTTCGTTCACACTGTTGAACTCGTCTCCATGGTTGCTGGAGTTTAGGATGCGCTCCACCAAATTGGCTGAGGCATATTTTCTGATAAGTTCCTGTGCTGATTGAAGAGTGACGGACAGTTCTCTCAGAGGTTTTTCTACCCCTGGAGGCGTCTGTTTGATGGACTTCACCAGCTTCTCCAAGGCTTTGACTCGGTTACAAACACGTCGGCAGCGCTTTTTATTGGCCTTCACATTCTCAACCAGGTCATAGATCTGTGAGGCGATGGACAGGATGGGATCTACAAAGTCCATGACAAGCTAAAGAGACAGAGAGGATGGACAGTTTATACAGAATAAACTGAAACTGAAAAAAAAATCTGAGTACAATATTATTTATTTTTAATGAGTTGAAGTAACAAGAAAAAATCAAACAGGTCTAACTTCGATCTAGAATCATAACTCTTTTCCTTAAGCATTAGTATCGTTTTTGTAGAGAAACGTGATGCATCGATTTCCAGAGTCTGGAATGAATTAAAACTAAATTGAAATGAAGAAACCAACCATCATTTTAAAAATGGCTAATGAAAACTATTGAAGAGCTGAAATAATTTAGACTTTTTCAGACTTAACCACAGACGCGCCTGTAAATATAGTCCCTCTGGATTTCTCTAACTTCTCTGTTTTGACCGCTCTTACACAATACCCAATGATTTTTGTTTACCTGAACCGTGATGTTTATTCTTAAACTGATCCAGTCTCAAACAGAAATCTGAAAGTAACAGGTGTCCAACACTTTGATGTACTCCCCCCTCATTCTTCCTCTGTGAAAGAGTTAAAACTGTGCTGCAGCAGACACTCAGAGAAGATTTCCCTCAAATTCTCACTGAGGGTTCAGTTTAAACAAAATCAAAGAACAAGAAAAAACGACCCTGGAGTACACACACATCCTGACGTACACACAACAGAATCACTACACAGCAGGAAGTGCAGCTTTTCTGTAAATGTTTAAACTTGTTTCTTCACAGAGTCATCAAATGGGAAAAGACCTGCTGTGAGAGCAAGATAAGAAGAAAGCAGAAAGCTAGTTTACCTGTCTTCCTGTCTTTGTGCAGGTGTGTGCCGAGTTTAAATGCTATAAGAAAATGAATCGCCTTGAACTGTGGCACTGCTCCTCGTTGCTTCCTGTTTCTGTCTGACAGATAAACACGCCTTTCCTGGTCCCCTGTGCTCCTCTGACAGGCCTGGATTACACTGCTTTATCCTGGAAGCAGAAGTAGAAATCACTGTGGGGGATGGAGGCTTCCTGATTAATAACGATTTCAGTCTCAGCAAGTGTAGCAAAAGTGGTCAGCTGTGTTTTAGCCACACACTAAAAAAATAAAAGGTCTGTGTCTGTACAAGTATTTCCTTTAAGCTAAATACCGAGGCGTCAGACTGCTCTAAACACTCAATTTAATATTTAATTTCACATAAAATTAATATGGATTCTAACTGTCTCTTTGTCTCATACACACACAGACACACCAAGAAAAGGATTTCCATTGAAAGTTTGGCAGTTATTTAGAAAGTCCCTATTGTTTCTGGATTTTACTATTTAATTTGTAAAAATGTGTACACACACACACACACACACACACACACACACACACACACACACACACACACACACACACACACACGTAGGAAAATATTTAGTATACACATCCAGAAATGCATACACTATTATATATTGTACATATATTTATTAGTTTCAGGTTGGCCATTCTTGTATTTTGCTCGTTTGTGTTGTTGTGTTTGCACATCTCTGTTGCTTGTGGGGCTCGCACACAAGAATTTCACTCGCATGTGCTGTGCCAGTGTGCCTGCACATGTGATGTGACAATAAAAGTGATTTGATTTGATTAGATTTGATTTGACACCATCGATGATAGCGAGCAGCTGATACATGTTATGTTTGGTCACACAGGAGGAGGAGACCCCAGAAATGTCATCAGAAGAGCTACTTTTTAATTTTCTGTACTTACATTACAGAACCTGTACTAAAATTAAAGGATCTGTTTAACACAAGTGTCTGCTAGAGTGAAAAATATCTGTACGTAAGTGCTGGATCGTTTTCATTTAATATCTCAGTGAATTTAAATATGGTCTAAGATATTAGGATACTTAAACACAGACGAATGGTGGTATATTTTAAATGTGTAACACTGACATTTACCATGTTCCGTTTCCGCACTGTGTCTTTATTTGATTATCAGTCTGTTTTACTTCACTTTAGCAACGTTTTTCTCCTTTAAACATAAACCCAAATCTTTGCCCCTCACTAAATAAAGCATAATAAACTGTTTTTGTTTTACTGTATGAAACAAAGAACATCCTTAATAAACAAACTAGCCTGACTCAGATTTGGCCCATGTAGACATTTCATCTTTTCCTTTTTCTTCTGAACAACACTGTCATGGCTACCGGACGGACTCGACAGAGTTCTTTGCAAACAAAAGAAGGCAGTTTATTTACAACGGGGAACACCTCAGTGCTATAGATATGTACAGTTAGTTGGGTGGGGGTCCAGGGCTCCAGGGAGAGGGGGGAATCAACATACACGCTTTCTCTTCAGCACAATGACCGCCGCAGCTCCTCCGCACAAACGCCACAACACACCGGAAACTCAGGAAAGGACCGTAACCTGGTCAGGAAGGGGGGGTTCAAGATAATTAAATCAATGCTATTTAATCATTAAATAGCAACTGAGAGAATCAGCCAGATCCAGCAGCAGGTGGTGACAATCACACAGGTGTGTGGGCCAAGAGCAAGAGCCTGTAACGAGCTCCGGCCAGGCAGACAGGAGCGAGGGAGAGAGAGAGAAACCTGTCGCCAGCTTGAGCCAGCCAGAGAGACACGGGGACCATGACAAGCATACTTTGGGGAATTTTCAAAGAGCACTGAAGTTTGTTGAAAATATCAGACTACATTGAATTATACACATAAATTTACTTTGTCACTATTTACTAATCTATTTGTATATTTAACCACCGCTTAAAAGTGCTTTACTCCAAACATTGTGTTGCTCATGGATTTTTGTATAAGTAGATGGGTTCTTTGGCCAGCTGAATGACCATGAACCTAAAAGTATTTCATGTATTTAATTGTAAACATTGTTTTGTCTTTGTTGCTGTTGTGTCATTTTTCCTTTCACATATTGTCCTATAAAAGCAACGCGGTGGTGATGTCAGGAGGATTGGTTATCCACAGGAACACCACACACTTGACCATCAGTTGATCAAAAGGAAGAAGACGTTCAATGAACGCAAAGGTGTGCCAAAGACTCACAGGATTTATCTGTACAGTGAACTTCAGATGACCACCAACACTGGCATACACATTCCCAGTGTGTATCAGTGTTGTTGAAGTGTGAAGATGTGGTTCAAGGGTCAATATTTACCAATAAACGTAAACAATGAATTTTAATCAAAGAATCATGTTGTCATAAAACCTTGAGATATTTGTAAGGAGAAAGGATTTCTTCATGTTTTGAGGAAGTGCTGAAGACTGAAGTGACACAACTTCAACTTTATGAATGACACCGATTGATTTTATTATTTTGATATGGTGTTGCATTTATTAATGATGGCTGCTGCTCCTGTCTCTTGCATCAGGTGAAGAATGCTGCTCATGCTCGTCCGGCAGGTCCTGCTTCTCCGGTCGCTTCCCCAGCCGCTCCTGCTCCTCCTTCAGTTCCTGTTGCTCCTGCAGGGACAGGAAAAACGCGTGGGAGCAGCGCCCTCTCGCTAATGTGCGAAAGGGCGCTGCTCCCACATAAAATCCAGGTGCACAAGATTACCCACTCTGAGCCCCTCCTGCACGTGCGAGAGGGTGCCACACCCAGCCACTACTCAATCCGGACCACCTCTCGCATGCACACAAGATTACGCCACCCAGAGCCCCTTTACACGCGCGCGACAAGGCACCACAACCAGCCACCACTCAATCCAGGACACCTCTCTCACGCGCACTCAGGAACGTATGCGCGAAAGGGCGCTGCTCCCACGCCATCATATACAATGTAGGAGCAACACAAGTTAACTCAGAGACACAGACTGATGCGACACAACCAGTAAGTAGGTGTACAGCGCACACTGTAGTGTGTAGCACCAGGAGTATTAGCTTATTACGTACACGTTGGTAAGCTGTCTTGTTGCAACTGACGAACTGAAACAAACGAGCGTGCTGTGTGTGCAACAGCGCGACAAACATTACCTGTCCTTTTATTAACTGCACAAGTAGTGCTGGTCATAGCTGCTGGCTACCTGTGTAAGGCTGTCATGGGTCTGTAGCTCTGTCACCGTTTTAGGGAACATATTTAGTTTTAAAGTATTTAGAAACATATTTAGTTTTAAAGTAAGTTTCCGGGCTTTTCCTGCCTTTCTGGAGGGATTATATTTCACTAAAAAACGATCTAATATGCATGTCCACATAATAATATTATAATTATAATATATTAAAAAACACACGCTGTATTTTAAAGAACATACATTAAGAAGCAGATTATATTAGATTTATATTTTAAATAAGACAAAATTTGGATTTTACAGCAGTAAAATGATTGTATCTCTACAGTTTAAACATGTAATAAGCTTTGCCCCTGCACAGAGTGGATAGTGAAACAAATGGAATCATCATAATGACATTATTTCATATTTATTACTTCCCCCTCCTCATTGCTTTATTATTGTAGCTCTAGTAATAAATAATAATGTAAGGATTCTGGATCAGCACCATGATGCCCATAGTATATACAGTATTCTGAAGAAGGTCTAAAATGTCACTGTGTGTGCGTGCATGTGTGTGTTTTATTTAGATGGATTTAAAAAAAATATTACTCATGATATAACATTGTCCAGACATGCCTGGTAAGGACATGAGGAGGAAACAGAGGAGCTGTGTGAGGCTACTAAAGGCAGGGCTATAACATTTTTCTGTCATCATTTTATTATAGATTAAGTGCAAGAGTTGTTAGGTGTGGATAATTAGATTATAGTTTATTGCAATAGCAAGTTGTGCCTTGTTCTCAGATAGACAGCAAGTGGAGAGTGATATATGAAATGATGGGATGGAAGGAAGAAGAGAAGCAAAGAGTGATTCACAGGCAGAGCCTAAATTATTTCTCACAGTTTTTTGTTGCCTTATGGTTCCAAGCGCTGTCACCAATCTTTGCATTTTGTTATTATCTCATGACACTTGTTTAATCAGCTACCATCTCTCCTATGGACTTTTTAATGTCTACAGTCTCAGATCAACACAGCCCTGCCCTCCAGCACTATCAGCAGCAGGAGCAGCAGAAACCCCTCAACAGCAACATTGTACTGTGGCTGTAGCTCAGGTGGCAGAGCAGGTCAGCCACTAATCAGAAGGTCGGTGGTTCCCAGGCTGCCTCCTGTCTGCATGCCAAATATCCTTGGGCAAGATACTAACCCCATGTTTGCCTACTGGTGGTGGTCAGAGGGCCTGGTGGCGCCAGTGTCTGGCAGCCTCGCCTCTGTCAGTGCGCCCCAGGGTGGCTGTGGCTACAATGTAGCCTGTGTGTGTGTGAATGGGTGAATGACTGAATGTAGTGTAAAGTGCTTTGGGGTCCTTAAGGACTAGAAAAGCGCTATACAAATGCAGGCCATTTACCATGTACCCATCAGGTAAAACATCGGTGACGTTTGCTTTGCCTTGTTGCCCATATTAGATTCTTGATGAATGTGTTGTTGTTATTCAGCCTGGTTCAATGTGCCCCTTTTTAACTTTGAGCACCCGCCCCTTTAAACCTCTCTGCACGGCCCTGCTATGCACTGTTAGTCCTTCCTGGGCAGTAGGTAATAGGTTCTGCACAGGGACATTTCCCTTACAGTACACCTGTTTGGGTTTCAACAAACTTTAAAGGACAATTCAGCCAGTCTTTTTGTTTCAGTGTCTTATTTTATTTTGTTTTGATTTCCATCTATTCACCCTTAAAAAGCACTATTAGTGTGCAATTTGGTTGACTGTGATTGTATGTGTTTCTGAGTTGTACTGAGGCAATGAAGGTGCCAGTTGTTCATTTTCAAGCCAGCTCCTTTTGTGAGTCCCAAATCAAAACCTCCTTCTGAACCTAGTTAGATGTCGAGGGTCTCTATTTGAATTGATATTAAACTGGTCCTGAGTAGAGGCGCCACAATAGCAGGTCCCTGAGGAGAGGACTGCCTTCATGATTGGCTAGTTGTAGGTAACAGCAGCAGATTCCCCAGATGCTCTTTAGAGTCTGCTGACAATTCAGTGCAAATCTGTGAGCGAGTATCTCAGGCATGACACTTAACTCTGAACATCGAAAAGTGTTTTACACAGAAATGCAGACATATTTTAGAAAACAGTGGAAGGATATGGCTTCCTCAATCAATATGCAGTAAAATAAAAGTTTCTAATTTTGTCAGTCGCATTGTTTAATGTCCAAATCAGACTGCAGGTGAAGTGTTTGTGCCTTCATAGATCGACCTTGATCTGTAAATTGATTGTGATGTAAAAGTTAGTAGATGTAATAAATGTGGAAAACCTTTCCTGTTATTTTCCTTAAGACATCTTGGGCTGCTCATCTTTTTGTGAATGTGTTGCTCATTAAATGTGGTTGGTTTAACAGATAATTAAATATTATGTTAATATTTACAATAAAAAGGCTCATATTTTTACTTCATATTCAGTTCTACTCACTGTCACAATTCTGCTAGGCTGCTAAAGTACTCAAAGTTTTCCCAAGTATTATGCTGATGGTATTTATAAAGTATAAAATAATAAAGATAAATATAATAATCATGAAAAACTTTTACTTAATTAGAATTTTAAATGTCAGCTTCTTACTTGTAATGTATTATCTTAATGTCATATTAATAATTTTACTGAAGTAACTATATTCTCCTGTCATCTTATTAAGAATGTGCAGTCATGCAGGAATAAACAAGGTTGTTGTGTGCTGGGAAAGTACAGCTGGAGTGGTGACGGAAACTGCCAAGAAGGTGTTTGCTGTATTCTCTGGACAGAGGAAAGAAGGCAAGGAAACTTGGTGGTGGAAGTAAAGTATTTAAAGGAAGAGGCTGAAAAAGAAGGAAGTAGACAGCACTACTGGGAGACTTGGCAATGAGAGTGATAGCAAAGGAAAATCCTTATAGTGAATGTGATGTGCATGTGAGGTTGGACAGTAAGGAAGGACATGCATCAACCAACCGGCTATGCAGAAAGCCTGAGTCTGAATGGATGTGCAACAGATTAGAGTCATTAAATACAGAGATATGCTAACTGTTCACTTAGTATATTTGTTCAGTTAGTATATAGTGTTGGAAAGAGTACTTTGTCTTTTTACAAAAAAACAGCTAAACATGAGATGTTTTTGGACAAAGTTTGTGTTCTCCATTCTTTAAGCACCGGCACCGTTTCAAAAGTACCGGTTTGGTACTGGTATCGCATAAAACCTAAACGATACCCATCCCTAGTGACACCGTCTTGTTTGTTTGATTTGATTTTATTGATTAGCATTCAAATATCTCAGTGAAGACAGAACAAAGATCTACCACAAAGCAAGAAAGCACAAGACTAATCAAAAGGTATTGGCTGAAGCATTTGCTTATTACGCCAACCCTTTTAACAAAAGATCTTTTTGCATGCAGCTCCTGTACACAGGGCTCGAAGCAAATAATAAATCAAAGCAAAAACAAACAAGAAAAACAAAAAACTTTCCACCTTAGATAAGTAACTACATCAAAGCAAAAGAATCAAGAGTTGGTTTTTTTTTGTTTTGTTTTGTTTTTTTTGCTCTTTTCATTCTTGATTTATATATTTTTCTAATACTCTATTTTTAAACATATTTTTAAACAAGGAAAATGAACTACACCTTTTTAAATCACTGTCATAACTATTCCACAGGTTAACTCCTCTAACAGAAACACATCTCTGCTTTATATTTGTCCTTATCTTGTTTTTTTTAAAGAAATCTGTTCCCCTTAAGTCATATTGACTCTGACTTTGAACAGCTTCTGAGTACTGGGGCAAAGCAAGTTATTTTGTGCTTTATACATTATCTGTGCCATTTTATATTCAACTAAATCAAAATTTCAGGGTATTCAGATTAATAAACCTAATGTTAGTTGGTTCTATATAGTTTGATTGGTTTATATTTCTTATAGCTCTTTTTTGTAACTTGAAAATAGGAAGAGTGTTCGTTTTATATGCATTACCCCATTACCTTCTGTGTTATACATTTCATTATGTTCTTTGTGCTAACTGTTCTGACCTGTTTCCCCATTGTGACATTTGTGTATTATATGTATAAAGAGATCTAATTTTGCTGGCAGGCAACTGCAATAAATTCTTCAATCCATCAATCAATTAAAGAAAAAGAAAACTATATTTTATTACTTAATTTGCTTAAGTGATATCAGCAAAATCTGCTTTGCTGATATGGAAAGTGAAACTAGTTTTCTTCACCTGCGTTTGTGATGGACACTAAGAGCTCCCTTGAAGACATGATCTGCAGGCCTCACAGGCCCATTTCATGCAGGGACATGAAGAGTTATTTGTTGGTCATAGGGCAGTTTTTGGGAGATACCCTCTTGGTGTCTGATGTGAGACTGTGTCTGATTGTTAGAGCTATATGTGCATTAGGAGGGGGTAATCAGGAGGGGCTGTTTAAATATAGATTACATCGATAAACTTGGAACATTTAAATGTTGAACTAGTATAAAACTAAGCAGGATAAGTCACAGTGCTGCATGCACATTTGTACCTTTTAAACTCTTTACAGTGAGTTTGTTTTCCGAAAAGAATGCCTTCACGGAAATGATATTTACCTTCGAGCCTAGAAATGCCACCCATTTCTCATAAATGCAAGCATACAGGAAGCATTCATGTTGGGAAATGTCAAAGAGTTTTAAATGACAAGATTGATTTATGAAAATGACAAGTATATGCATAATTATGCCGTCTGTCTTGTCAGAGTCAAATGTGGTGTAAAGACAAAAACATCCATAGTTTTCTTCATTATTCAGGATATATTACACCAGACACATCAGGCATTTCACTGACAGTTTGGTTCACGTAAAGTTCTCAACAGATAATCAAAAAGAGTATTAACTGTAATAACAAATGTTGAAGCAGAAATAATGTATTCTAGCATCCAGTTCACAACAACCTGTAACTCGCTACTGCAGGTGAGGGATTTCAATAAAACAGGTCGACTTACTGTGCAGGAAGTTTCATTTTAAAAAACTGGTTTGGTCATGTCGTTACCTCTGTCATTAATTTCATTCTTCTACCATGAAACTGGCTGCACATAAAGAAACAGCCTTTTGAGCTGTAGCTGTTTTCTGTAGCCTCCATTCTCTGCTTCTTACTCTGTATTTCTGCTGCTGTCTTTCTGTCACCCTAAAATTGAATAAATTAACCACTGTTATGTTGCTGTTATTTTCAGAAGTGACCATAATTGGATGAGAGGTGAGAGGATGTTCAGCTGAAGTGTTCAGATAAAACAGACAGCTTGAAGCTTTTGAGAACGATAAAAAAAGAACAGGCAGACATGGAGATTTCTTGATTTATTATAGACTCGCCAGCAAAACAAGTTGTAAACTACATAAAAATAATAAAGCAAAATATATCTAATGGCAAAACAAATGCATCAGAAAAGAAGAGAAGCTACTTCCATCCACTCACTTATTTACAGCGGGTAGCTCCACATATTTGGTTTGGCAGATTTTTGGCAGCAGATGCCACATGTGACAACGGGGTTTATAAACCTCCCAGGCTTTAATAACGAGTCCTTTGCTTGTCTGGCAAACCAGCAAACTATCCTATGGAGCCACCAGAATAAATGCAACAGAAAAACAAACACTACAAATGTAACAAACATTATTATCAAAAAGAAACTATTGTTAACTCATTCACTGCCAGCCATTGGCAGTGAATGAGTTAAACCCATTGACTCAGTCACTGCCATTGACGTCGTCAATGGCAGTGACTGAGTCAATAGTGAAAAATTTCAAACAAAGAGGGTAGGATGTCACCAGTTGGTGAAACCCAGTCACCAAGCATAACTATGCTACACGCTGAAGACCTTCCAGGAGAGACTACAGAAGTGATTTTTTTTTTCCAAAATCCAAGAAGATATTTTCCCCAAAAAGTCAGTAATCTTTGTTTATTATGTAGTTGCTACTAGTCTTCCTGAATATCTCAAAATACATCATAAAAATACACAAGGCCATATAAAATAATCGGATTAAGTTGTAACCATAGACTGTATATAAACGAAGGATGTGGACACCATGATGTCAGCTAGAGCCTCAGTGATTGTATTTGGGCTGCTTGTATATTTGTTTTTTGCAGTCAGATGTGACCACTGGATGATCCAGTGAATGAGAGGGTGGAGGGCACAATAATCACCTCATGCTAGCTAGCTTAATTAACAAGCTGTGTCCAAAGAGCGTGCAGGTTTTCTGTTATATATCCTGTACCAATGGTGGATGTTCATTTCAAACATGTCCAAACTTTCAAATGTTGATCTGGGTATGTACAAGTAATCCCTGTAAGTACAAAGCTCAATTAAACACTCAGTTTCACACAGTTTTTTTTTCTATTCTTTGCTGCGTAGGATACCAGTGAGAGAGAATAACCATAATATAAAAAACATAATATGTTCATGTCAGGCACAGAAGCCCCGGCTGCCAGCTACACAAACTTTGTGTTCACAAGGGCAGCCAACCAGGAAACATGTGGTTGATGTGAAGATGAGCAAGATGTTGAGCCTGACTGCACTCTTGAAAGCAGTATCTTAACTGTATTCAATGTAAGCAAATTCCATTAGCAAAACGTTTGTCTTGTTTTAACGTAAAAAAGCATTCTTGACCACATAAGCTGACACAATGGGCATGGTTTGGGCTGGAAGAGTGATTGGAGCAAGAGTTCTGATGCCAGTGACTGACCCCTGAGAAATGGCTTGCATGACAGGTCTGGAGGCTATGTTGTTGGTGACGATAAAGCGGGATGTTGTAGTATTGTAGACAGGCTGTGTCACATAAGGTGTAGGGGACATAACGTAAGTGACCGGCATGGCAGCTGTAGGGTTAGACATTGGTATGGATGTAAATATAGGACCTGTAGGGCTAGAAATAGGTGTAGGAGGAAGCTGAGGATGTTGGGGGTGTGACACTGGAGCAGGCTGAAACATAGGAACTGAAGAACTTGACATTTGTGCAGGCTGAGGCATAGGAACTGTAGGACTTGACATCGGGGCAAAGGGAAGCATAGGAACTGTAGGACTTGACACCGGGGCAGGGGGAAACATAGGGGTTGTGAGACCAGTATTAGCCATCATACTGCAAACCTCTTCCTCAGTATTTTGTCTCGAAACAGCTTTATACACCTTTTGCAGCATGGTGGTGTGCTCAATCTGCAGAGCACCAGAAAGGACCTGGAAGTTCTCTGTGAGCCTTTGGTTCACCTCGCTGAACTTTTCCTCAATGCTGCCAGACTTAAAGAAACCCTTAACAGACTTAGTTTGAGAGAATTTTGCCATCAGATCCTTGGCAGAATTCAAGATGACGTAGAGTTCCCTCAGAGCTCCATCAACAGTATCAGAGATTTGGCTTGGATCACTCTGTCTGATGTTTAAAACCAGCCCTTCAACAGCTTGGACTCTGTCTGCAATCCGACTGCAGCACTCCTTATTGGACTTCATAGTGTCAACCATCTTTTTGATGGTTGTGGTAAGCGACAAGATACGTTCAGCGTAGTCCATGATCAGCTGCACAGAAAGTAAAACAGTTAACGTTATTGTAGTGGTGCTACGGTGAAGTAAACTCAAACAGACTGAACTAAACTGAGCTGAACCTGAAATTTTCCAAAAGGATAAAGTTTGTATGTGCACACAACAAAAAGGGTTAAAATCTCATTTCAGCACTCATGATAAGCTGGGATGTGCCTATGTTAAGCCAATTAACGCCATAAACCTTCCAGTCAGACGTATTACGGTGTGTTCAGACTGAAAGTGACTGGAAGGATATGTTTTGATTTTGCCACTGCAACCCTTTCCCCTTTCACCTTCTTGGAAAAATACAATGTATGAATACAAAATGGGAACTACCAATACAAATAAAAACCTTTTTTTAAAAAAAAAAGATTTGATTTCTCTTCAAAGTTGTCTCCTTGTGCACCTCCTTAAAGTCAGAAATCTTTCAGTTGGACGTGTGAAGGTGTGTTCAGACTGAATGTGACCGCTTATATGCAAAGTAACTGGAAGGATATGTGACGTTTTCCACTTTTGTCTGGGAAATCCCCCAAATTTCTTCGAAAAATACAATGTGTGGTCATGAAGTGGGAAACTGCCTATACAAACAAAAAATCCTACCTTTTTAAAATTTGATTTATCTTCAAGGTTGTCTCCTTGTGCACTTCTGCACTCCTTCTAGTCTGCTGTTTTTAGATCCCTCTGTAGAAGTCCAAGCCCAGAAACCTGGTGGATCATAAGAGGATAAAAGTTATTTATTTCCTAACCGCCCAGAGCTCATGAGCAAAGGCAAAGGTCAGAGTTGGTCAGAGATGGAAATACTTTTTTTCCATTTTCAACCACAGCAGTCTTTCATTTATTTATTTTATATGTGTGATATAGGCCACATCTATGTGGAGATGCCACTCATCCGCTGGACTTGTGGGCCAAAATCACATTTCGAGCCCGCCTGTATTCTTTGAAAAAAATTAGTTCTTCAGGACAAAGTGTACACAAAGTTTCAAGTTATGGCGTGGTTTTGGCTCAGGTGGTAGAGCAGATCAGCTACTGATCGGAAGGTCGGTGGTTCGATCTTTGTCTTCCCAGTCTACATGTCAAGTATCCTTGGGCAAGATACTAACCCCAAATTGCCCTCCGATGCGTTCATCGTGTGGTTAGTTTGCACTTGTGTTTAGAAGTGCTTGAATGGGTGAATGAGGCATGTTGTATAGAGTGCTTTGAGCACTCTGGGAGAGTAGAAAAGCGCTATATAAGAATCAGTCCATTTACCATTCAAGCATTCTCTTTCTCTTTTCCTTTAAAACCAACAGTTGTCACTCCACCCTATATTCTCGCTTTAATTATTATGAGGAACTGGTAAGTTATCCAAGGTATTCAAAGCTCAACCCTGAGTCTGGTTTTGGAGGCATTCCTGGCATCGTATTAATTCTCTTTTGGGTGTCTTCATATTTTGTTTCACATGTTTTCTTGTATTTGTTCTCGCGGTTTTTCCTGCTCATCAGTGTAATCATCTGTCCTTGTTTTTTGATAACAACTTCGTTTGTACGCCTCCAATGTTTTTGCTTCCTTCGTCACTGTTCTTTATGATTGTATGCAATGCTGTATACAGTCTTAACTCTTTCCTTGTCGGCTCTCAGTTCATCAGTTTGCTTTTTTACCTGCTTTGTTTTAGCCCTTTGTACTTTGTGCAACTCGGGTGTTTTCATATTAGCCATTGAAAGTTCACTTTTTGTTCTTTAAGCGCTTCTGTGTGCTGCATTTGCACAAACTTTCTGCAAATACTCGACTGCCTTTCGAATACTTTTTAAAGTTCTTGTCTGGCAATGTGTGTTGAATGTTTTTTTGTTCTCAGATCTCTCTTTAAAGAGATTTTTACCTTCCTGCGGTTGCTTCAGCAAAGTCAGCTTATATATTTTTTTGTCATTCTTTGGAGCAAATTGAATTCAACAACTGATGGGATTTTCCCCATCTTATGAACAATCAGCATCACAAGCTTTGATCTCAGACACATCATTTAAGTAGTCTTCACCAGAATCGGCTCTTCGGTCTGTCTGTGAGGACTGCCTTTAAGATAAGGCGTTTTTTTTTTAGCATGAAAACCACAACAGCCTCCTGTCAACAGCTTATTTTTCATACTGGGGATAAAACGGTTTTGTTTAGATTAAAAACAGACCCAGACCAGACCCCAAATTTTGAAAAAAGCTAAAACAATAAACCACAGTGTAAGACATCTTATTCCCACAACAACAGCGTGAGATGTCACAGGAAAATTGGGTGCAGTTTCAGTCATAAATTATATTTTTTGCTTTCATTTCAGCAGATTACAGAAGTACGAAATGTTTACTTGCACATCCTTTCATAATTGACCAGCACAACTGCTTTTTGTCTTTAGAATTCAAACAGCACATCTAGAGCTAGAGAGAAATTTCCATCCTGCATTCAAAAAAAGACTTCAAGGCTTAGTTCAAATGAAAAGTGAAACTATGTTGTGAAAAGTTTGCTGGCCTCATACTGTCAATACGTGATCCAATTTCCCCACTTCATGAGTAGACATAAAGAGAGAATTTGGTGGTAAAAAGACAAACTTCAGAAGTCACCTTCTCGATTTGTTTCTGTCTCTGATTGTTTAAGTGGGATTAGGACGGGCCTTTTGGATATAGATGGAAGAACTGAATCAGTCCTTTAACAGTGTAGAAACTCTACCCGTTTCTTTAAAAAATGCAAGCATTAAGAAGGCATTCATGGCAGGACATGATGAAGAGTTTTAAATTACAAGACTGATTTTATTTTATTTTTTTAATGACAGCTACTCGATTATGCTATTTGCCTTGTCAGGGCCAAGACTGGTGTAAGAGTAAAAGGAATACATTAGCGATTATTGAAGCATTAAAGCTTCAAATCTGTGGAGGAAGATGACACAGTAAATAAAAATGTGAAGAATTTAATGGCAAGTTTTAGAAAATAACAGCTAGAATTGGGACTGTAAAGCTGTATCCACAGTCAGATAGTTTAAAACAGGGGTGTCACCTTCAGTTTCACTGGGAAATGAGATTCTCATCGAGGTCCAGGCATGCATGCTTTATTGAAATGCTCCGATTTAATGCAAAATGTGTCTCACGCAGCTTTTTCCTCTCACAGTCTTTCCCGTGTAATTCCCTGAAACAGTCAACAAACAGTGAATCTCTACAGCCTCTGATCTCTGCAAAACTCTGCTTTTTGCTGCTGGGTGAATTAAAACAGAAAAAAAATAAAGAAAAAAATATGTTTCCTGAAAACAAAAATTGTATCAAGGCAAATGCATACACGCGTTTCTCTTTGCCCATTATAGTCTCATCTCTCAGTCTGCCTAGTGCACTGCCTCAGTACACCTGGCTAGAACCTGGCAGGCCAAAACTGATTAAAAATGGACAAAATTAAAGTTACTGAAGGGCAGGATTTAGCTTCTTTAACAAAAATAAATACAATATAAAATCTAATGACATACAGGAGAAGATTAATACCATGCAGAAGATTAAAGATTGAGTTTGGTTCTTTACCGGTCAGTGTGTGTCATCAGCCTTTCTGCTCAGGTGTTGAGGAAAATGAAGCTCAATTTCATTTTTGCAGGTTTTAAAGTGATGTCTCAAACATCTGTGGCATCTGTGTTATGTCTGTCTACAGCAACACACTTGACTGTAATAAACCTGTTTATCCTGTAAAAACCAACATGCGTAACCTTGTGTTCAGCATTCACAGGTAACGTGAGCAACAGCACTACTGCAAATAAACACAACTTACCAAAGGAGTATGCAGTAAATAGGTTTTGCACTGACTATGAGGTTGAATCATCTGTATTTAAATAATCTCTGCTGGGAGGATGAATTTTATGTGTGCAAGCTGTTAAGTTTGGGAACAGCTGCCACAAACTGTATATAAAAGACAGATCATCATCTAGTGGTTTTAGACACTGTATTAGCAGCCACCTTGTTGGTTTTTTGAATTTGGATGGGGCCATATTTAGTTGAAAGGAGATCAAAAAGGTGCTCCATAAAGAAAGGAACAGAAAAAGATCTAGTATGACGCTAACATACTTCAGATATCCAAAATACCAAAGTGCATTACTGCATCACTCATCATGTTTTATGATGTTAGGCTGATATACACAGTAGTAGAACAGGGAGACTTCAAAATGAGGAACAATGAACCAGGTCAAGACACACACACACACACACACACACACACACACACACACACACACACACATTCAATGACAAGACTGGAGGAACAGAATAGGAATATAAAAGGAGATTAACTAAATACTATATAGACGAGACACACAGAGGCCGTAGCCAAACATAACCTAAGAAGCAGGACTTGGAAGGCAAAAGACAAACAGAGAGTGGTGGAGGACATAACAAATGACAGCAGGATAAATAGAAACAATACAACCTATATTACAAACAAAATGAATCTTAATCACAAATGATCCTTATAAACAAAAGGAATGACAAACCCACTAAAAAAAAAACTATACAATGAAAAGAATGGGGAGAGACCAAGGGCACAAATAAACAGCATGGACAGACGGCAGGGGTACACACACACTCACAAAAAAAATACACTTTTATGTGTTTGTTACTTTCCAGAGTTGAACCTCGTGCTGACAAAGGCCTGCAAAGTCAACATGCCAGAGTTCTGTCAGTCCATCCTTAACAAGGCGACACTTGAAAGTGAGCTGGAGCATCAGGTCATCCCTGCCTCAAACTTAAATACGAGCCACGGCTGACTTTGCTTTTCCAGAGTCCCACCTCACATCCAAGTTTTTCACATGTCTGAATATTGTGTGTGCGCATGATCCAACTTCAACTTTGGTAGATTAGTGGGTGACAGTGTGAATGTGAGAAGATAACTCAAACCATCAAGCTGCATGATTTGAAAGTAGGGATATTGATGGTTGAACACAGAACCATAATTCCATAATGGTGTGAGTTATTTGTATGTGATTTTGCTGATAGTAAATTGTGTTTAACACTGATCAGAATATCTCATTAACTTTTTGACAGCCAGCCAGGTCTGAGCAAAAATACACTGAAATACCAACAAGCCACATTCTACTTGGCCAAGATGTGTCTGTTAAACACAGTGAGTACCAAATGTTTCAGGAAAATGGTCACCAAAATATGTGTTATCCGCCATGCAGTGATTTTTCTAAAGGAGTAATACCTGTGATGTTTGCAAAACATTGCAATGAAAATCTCACAGCTGTAAGTGGTGTGCATAACCATCATGCAGGTACACTGAATGGAGTAAAAGATTACATTTAGCTTCTAAGAGATGGACTTAAAGATAACTGTAAAATCACTCCATGTAGAACAGAGTGCTTAACATATTTAGACAGTATTTTTATTTATTGCAAAACTTTCTGTCGCTATAAACTTGAATGAATGATTGAATATAGGTTTGATTCATTCTGAAGCCTCAGCGTTAGTGTTTTAGCAAACTGGAATGTTGCTGTTATTTTGGCAGCAGAAGTGAGAGGTGAGAGGATGGCCAGCTGAATCCATAAAGTCTTCAGATAAAACGCTCAGACAGCTTGAATTTGATTGGATGAACGTACAAATGATTTATTATAGGTTCACCAGCAAAACAAGTTGTAAATTACTTAAGAATAATAAAGCAAAATATATCAAACTGAAAAGAAATCCAACAGAAAGCAACAGAAGCTACTTGCACTAGTTTCTTACACGAAACAATTTTCCAAGACTGAAGTTACATTCACTATTTCCCAGTCACCAAGCATAACTATGCTACAGGCTGAAGACGTTTCAGGAGGGATTACAGAAGTGATTCCCCCCAATCTAAGAAGATATTTTCCCAAAACAAAGTACTCACAACTCTTTTTATTATTATCTATTAGCTGCTAGCCTTTCTGGATTTTTTTAAATCATAAAATTGCCTTATTAAGTCGTAACCACAGACTGTATATAAAAGATGTAAAGACACACCATGCTGTCACTTAGAGCATCAATATTTGCAGTTTAGCTGCTTGTATATTTGTTTTTTTGCAGTCAGATGTGACCACTTATATGTCGCGTTTCGATGGTGGATGCTCATTTTAAACTTTTAAACCAAAGTTTCAAATGATGATCTGGGTAAGTACAAGTAATCTCTGTGAGCACAAAGCTCAGCCTTCATGATGCTTCACATGGTGTTTTTTCTATTCTTTGCTGCATGTGACACCAGTGAGAGGGTATAACCCTAATAAGGTCATGTCCGGCAGAAGTCCCAGCCACCAGCTGCACCAACGTTGTTCACAATGGCAGCCAATCAGGAGAAACACAGACAAATACAAATGAGTGATAATGGGTCCGCTTTAAAGATTAAAATGACCAAATAGTCACAAAACTCAGCATAACTGTGTAGCTGACATCGAAAAGAAGGCTTCGCTCATGATGTGGTTGATGTGAACCCATTGCAAGATGGTCCCAAATTGACCTTGACTGCAGTCTTATGTTTAGTTTCATTCTTAACTGTAAACAAGTTAAACAAACTTCCTTAGGAAAGCCTTTGTGGGTTTTTTTTTAGTTTAACATAGCTTCTTGACCACATGAGCTGGTGGGTTTTGAGCGAACAGTTCTGAAGACAGGCATGGTGTTCGCGTTGTCAGTGACTGACCCCTGGGAAATGGCTTGAATGACAGGGGTGGAGGCTATGTTGTTGTTAACGATAAAGTGAGATGTTGTAGTATTGTAGAGAGGCTGGGCTGCAAAAGGTGCAGACACTGGCATAGAGGGAAGTATAAGATTTGTAGGGCTAGACACTGGTGTGGGAGGAAGCTGAGGATATAGAGACCCTGACAATGGAGCAGGCTGACTCATAGAAGCTGTAGGACTGGACAATGGAGCAGGTGGAAGTATAAAACCTATAGGACTGGGCAGTGGAAGAGGCGGAAGCACAGAAGCTGTAGGACTTGACATCGGGGCAAAGGGAAGCATAGGAACTGTAGGACTTGACACCGGGGCAGGGGGAAACATAGGGGGTGTGAGACTAGTATTAGCCATCATACTGCAAACCTCTTCCTCAGTACTTTGTTTTGAAACAGCTTCATACACCTTTTGCAGCATGGTGGTGTGCTCAATCTGCAGAGCACCAGAAAGGACCTGGAAGTTCTCTGTGAGCCTTTGGTTCACCTCGCTGAACTTTTCTTCAATGTTTCCAGCCTTGAAGAAGGTCTTAACAGACTTGGTTTGTGAGAATTTTGCTATCAGATCCTTGGCAGAATTCAAGATGACGTAGAGTTCCCTCAGAGCTCCATCAACAGTATCAGATATTTGGCTTGGATCACTCTGTGTGATGTTTATAACCAGCCTTTCCACGGCTTGGACTCTTTCTGCAATCCTTCTGCAGCGCTCCTTATTGGACTTCATAGTGTCAGCCATCTTTTTGATGGTTGTGGTAAGCGACAAGATACGTTCAGCGTAGTCCATGATCAGCTGCACAGAAAGTAAAACAGTTAACGTTATTGTAGTGGTGCTACGGTGAAGTAAACTCAAACAGACTGAACTAAACTGAGCTGAACCTGAAATTTTCCAAAAGGATAAAGTTTGTATGTGCACACAACAAAAAGGGTTAAAATCTCATTTCAGCACTCATGATAAGCTGGGATGTGCCTATGTTAAGCCAATTAACGCCATAAACCTTCCAGTCAGACGTATTACGGTGTGTTCAGACTGAAAGTGACTGGAAGGATATGTTTTGATTTTGCCACTGCAACCCTTTCCCCTTTCACCTTCTTGGAAAAATACAATGTATGAATACAAAATGGGAACTACCAATACAAATAAAAACCTTTTTTTAAAAAAAAAAGATTTGATTTCTCTTCAAAGTTGTCTCCTTGTGCACCTCCTTAAAGTCAGAAATCTTTCAGTTGGACGTGTGAAGGTGTGTTCAGACTGAATGTGACCGCTTATATGCAAAGTAACTGGAAGGATATGTGACGTTTTCCACTTTTGTCTGGGAAATCCCCCAAATTTCTTCGAAAAATACAATGTGTGGTCATGAAGTGGGAAACTGCCTATACAAACAAAAAATCCTACCTTTTTAAAATTTGATTTATCTTCAAGGTTGTCTCCTTGTGCACTTCTGCACTCCTTCTAGTCTGCTGTTTTTAGATCCCTCTGTAGAAGTCCAAGCCCAGAAACCTGGTGGATCATAAGAGGATAAAAGTTATTTATTTCCTAACCGCCCAGAGCTCATGAGCAAAGGCAAAGGTCAGAGTTGGTCAGAGATGGAAATACTTTTTTTCCATTTTCAACCACAGCAGTCTTTCATTTATTTATTTTATATGTGTGATATAGGCCACATCTATGTGGAGATGCCACTCATCCGCTGGACTTGTGGGCCAAAATCACATTTCGAGCCCGCCTGTATTCTTTGAAAAAAATTAGTTCTTCAGGACAAAGTGTACACAAAGTTTCAAGTTATGGCGTGGTTTTGGCTCAGGTGGTAGAGCAGATCAGCTACTGATCGGAAGGTCGGTGGTTCGATCTTTGTCTTCCCAGTCTACATGTCAAGTATCCTTGGGCAAGATACTAACCCCAAATTGCCCTCCGATGCGTTCATCGTGTGGTTAGTTTGCACTTGTGTTTAGAAGTGCTTGAATGGGTGAATGAGGCATGTTGTATAGAGTGCTTTGAGCACTCTGGGAGAGTAGAAAAGCGCTATATAAGAATCAGTCCATTTACCATTCAAGCATTCTCTTTCTCTTTTCCTTTAAAACCAACAGTTGTCACTCCACCCTATATTCTCGCTTTAATTATTATGAGGAACTGGTAAGTTATCCAAGGTATTCAAAGCTCAACCCTGAGTCTGGTTTTGGAGGCATTCCTGGCATCGTATTAATTCTCTTTTGGGTGTCTTCATATTTTGTTTCACATGTTTTCTTGTATTTGTTCTCGCGGTTTTTCCTGCTCATCAGTGTAATCATCTGTCCTTGTTTTTTGATAACAACTTCGTTTGTACGCCTCCAATGTTTTTGCTTCCTTCGTCACTGTTCTTTATGATTGTATGCAATGCTGTATACAGTCTTAACTCTTTCCTTGTCGGCTCTCAGTTCATCAGTTTGCTTTTTTACCTGCTTTGTTTTAGCCCTTTGTACTTTGTGCAACTCGGGTGTTTTCATATTAGCCATTGAAAGTTCACTTTTTGTTCTTTAAGCGCTTCTGTGTGCTGCATTTGCACAAACTTTCTGCAAATACTCGACTGCCTTTCGAATACTTTTTAAAGTTCTTGTCTGGCAATGTGTGTTGAATGTTTTTTTGTTCTCAGATCTCTCTTTAAAGAGATTTTTACCTTCCTGCGGTTGCTTCAGCAAAGTCAGCTTATATATTTTTTTGTCATTCTTTGGAGCAAATTGAATTCAACAACTGATGGGATTTTCCCCATCTTATGAACAATCAGCATCACAAGCTTTGATCTCAGACACATCATTTAAGTAGTCTTCACCAGAATCGGCTCTTCGGTCTGTCTGTGAGGACTGCCTTTAAGATAAGGCGTTTTTTTTTTAGCATGAAAACCACAACAGCCTCCTGTCAACAGCTTATTTTTCATACTGGGGATAAAACGGTTTTGTTTAGATTAAAAACAGACCCAGACCAGACCCCAAATTTTGAAAAAAGCTAAAACAATAAACCACAGTGTAAGACATCTTATTCCCACAACAACAGCGTGAGATGTCACAGGAAAATTGGGTGCAGTTTCAGTCATAAATTATATTTTTTGCTTTCATTTCAGCAGATTACAGAAGTACGAAATGTTTACTTGCACATCCTTTCATAATTGACCAGCACAACTGCTTTTTGTCTTTAGAATTCAAACAGCACATCTAGAGCTAGAGAGAAATTTCCATCCTGCATTCAAAAAAAGACTTCAAGGCTTAGTTCAAATGAAAAGTGAAACTATGTTGTGAAAAGTTTGCTGGCCTCATACTGTCAATACGTGATCCAATTTCCCCACTTCATGAGTAGACATAAAGAGAGAATTTGGTGGTAAAAAGACAAACTTCAGAAGTCACCTTCTCGATTTGTTTCTGTCTCTGATTGTTTAAGTGGGATTAGGACGGGCCTTTTGGATATAGATGGAAGAACTGAATCAGTCCTTTAACAGTGTAGAAACTCTACCCGTTTCTTTAAAAAATGCAAGCATTAAGAAGGCATTCATGGCAGGACATGATGAAGAGTTTTAAATTACAAGACTGATTTTATTTTATTTTTTTAATGACAGCTACTCGATTATGCTATTTGCCTTGTCAGGGCCAAGACTGGTGTAAGAGTAAAAGGAATACATTAGCGATTATTGAAGCATTAAAGCTTCAAATCTGTGGAGGAAGATGACACAGTAAATAAAAATGTGAAGAATTTAATGGCAAGTTTTAGAAAATAACAGCTAGAATTGGGACTGTAAAGCTGTATCCACAGTCAGATAGTTTAAAACAGGGGTGTCACCTTCAGTTTCACTGGGAAATGAGATTCTCATCGAGGTCCAGGCATGCATGCTTTATTGAAATGCTCCGATTTAATGCAAAATGTGTCTCACGCAGCTTTTTCCTCTCACAGTCTTTCCCGTGTAATTCCCTGAAACAGTCAACAAACAGTGAATCTCTACAGCCTCTGATCTCTGCAAAACTCTGCTTTTTGCTGCTGGGTGAATTAAAACAGAAAAAAAATAAAGAAAAAAATATGTTTCCTGAAAACAAAAATTGTATCAAGGCAAATGCATACACGCGTTTCTCTTTGCCCATTATAGTCTCATCTCTCAGTCTGCCTAGTGCACTGCCTCAGTACACCTGGCTAGAACCTGGCAGGCCAAAACTGATTAAAAATGGACAAAATTAAAGTTACTGAAGGGCAGGATTTAGCTTCTTTAACAAAAATAAATACAATATAAAATCTAATGACATACAGGAGAAGATTAATACCATGCAGAAGATTAAAGATTGAGTTTGGTTCTTTACCGGTCAGTGTGTGTCATCAGCCTTTCTGCTCAGGTGTTGAGGAAAATGAAGCTCAATTTCATTTTTGCAGGTTTTAAAGTGATGTCTCAAACATCTGTGGCATCTGTGTTATGTCTGTCTACAGCAACACACTTGACTGTAATAAACCTGTTTATCCTGTAAAAACCAACATGCGTAACCTTGTGTTCAGCATTCACAGGTAACGTGAGCAACAGCACTACTGCAAATAAACACAACTTACCAAAGGAGTATGCAGTAAATAGGTTTTGCACTGACTATGAGGTTGAATCATCTGTATTTAAATAATCTCTGCTGGGAGGATGAATTTTATGTGTGCAAGCTGTTAAGTTTGGGAACAGCTGCCACAAACTGTATATAAAAGACAGATCATCATCTAGTGGTTTTAGACACTGTATTAGCAGCCACCTTGTTGGTTTTTTGAATTTGGATGGGGCCATATTTAGTTGAAAGGAGATCAAAAAGGTGCTCCATAAAGAAAGGAACAGAAAAAGATCTAGTATGACGCTAACATACTTCAGATATCCAAAATACCAAAGTGCATTACTGCATCACTCATCATGTTTTATGATGTTAGGCTGATATACACAGTAGTAAAATGAAAGTCATTTTCATTCTCGGTTTTAAAGTGATGTCTCTGAAACATCTGTGGTATCTGTGTTTGTCAGTGTACAGCTACAGACTTGACTGTATTAAACCTATTTATCCTGTAAAAACCTACATGCGTAAACTTGTGTTCAGCATCTAACGCGTTCACGTGAGAGATGTTACTACTGTAAATAACACGGGGCTGGAAACTAGAAGCTGGGAGTCAAATGTTGTGTTTTCATCAGAATGGTGCTTTGGCAATATTACAGAAGTTTAAATTGTCTCGAAGTTTTGACTAACAACACATTCTAACAAAAAAAAAGAAAAATCTGAACTAAAACTGAAACTTTGAAAAGCTTAAAATACACCCTGAATATTTTATTTCCTTTTTTCCTCAGCTAATAAAAGTTTCCTATGGCCATTAGTTGTAATTTGAATATGACTGAACTGCTGCGTTTTGATGTGTTTAATATTTGACTCGTTTTTAGTGATTTTTCAGCAGTGTTGGGCAAGTTACTTTGAAAAAGTAATTGATTATAGTTACTAGTTACTTCTTCAAGAAAGTAACTGAGTTAGTAACTGATATTCTAAAAGTAATTAATTACTTGAAAAGTAACTATTGCGTTACTTTAAAAAACGTTTAACCCTCTGGGGTCCAGGGTATAATTGGCCATTTTTAACTACTTTTGATGTTTCCTCCACATTTTACCTTGTTTGGTATCATCCTTTTCAGCACAACCTCACGTGTCTGAATTTACAGTTATGTTTTCATTTTGACAAACTGTATTAACACAATTGATCTAAAATCAGACAAAAAACATAAACTCAGAGTAGAAAAAGTTATATTTTTACTGTAACAACCACAAACATGTTTAATGATCATATTTCATAACTTTAAATGCAAATATAAATGTCAATTTTAAAATCCTATGCACAAGTTGTCACGGTCCTGGGTCGGGTCGACCCAGTATTTTGAGTTTCTTATGTTTTGGTTTATTTTGCATTATGGATTAGTTATTCTCTGGTGATACTGTTTTGATTACAATTATATTCTGATTCTTTAGTTATCTGATGATGATGTTGATGATGATTATGTCTGGTTTAGGTTTTGTTATCTTGCCCTTATGTTTGGTTTAGGTTG